GGCATTGACCAGCCCTCTGTCTGGGGAAGCCTCTGATCCTCGGGACCCACGGGGAGGGGTCCCTGTGTCCCGGAGGGTCCCTCAGGTACTACCTGCGTCATGGACTGTGCTCATCAGAAGAGGTCCCTGCTCAGGGGCTGGAGCCTGGCCCCAGTGCGCCGGCTCAGCTCCTCGAGAACCTGCTTCTCCTTCTGGTACATCTGCAACGAAGGAGCGAAAACCAACCCTGGACGTGCCCAGCTGGCCTGGCTGCTCAGGCCCTGGGGAGTCCCTGGCTGGGTCCTCGGCAAATCCCTCCCTGAGGCCCGTGTCCACGGCTATGGCATGGGGAGCCTTGGCCATAGGGCTTCCCTCAAGGTTCTGCTCATGGGTGCCCAGCACCTGTGCACAGGGAGTGCCAAAATGCTGCCTGCAGGGTGGACGGTGGAGACGGCAGGAGAGGTTGTGGGCTGGGGCAGAGGGGGTGATCTTGGGGAGGAAAGAGGAGAGCCTGCCTGGGGTCACAGGAGAACAGGCGCAGGACACAGGGGAGGGAGGGGGTGCAGATGGCTCCTCTGGGGGGAAGGGTGGTCAGGGCTCGGAGGGCTGGGGTCCCTGGCAGACTGCACATGCTGAGACTTAGATCTGTTGGATGTAGAGGTGGAGGGCTGAGGAGGAAGTGGCCACAGTAAGGCCGGCATCTGACAGGAAGGGGAGGTGGAGCCAGGGTGAGGCTGGTGTGGACCCAGCCTAGGATGGCTGGGGGAGAGGACAAGTGTGCCAGGGACTTCTTTTGTTAATGAAAAAAGTTTCTTATGCCTTTCAGAGAATCTGACTATTTGACTACAAATACAGTTTGAGTTTATTAAACACAGTATGGTTTGTATACCAACATGGACCTTTACAAGTGGGTAAACATTGGCCCCCTTCGAGGAAACCAACTGCTCCATAACTTTACACAATAGGTCTCTATCAGACGCCTGCACATTTCAAATCCTGTTCGCAACTGATAAATAGCATCACAGTTTCCCTCGCAAAGATTTTGTAACTTTAAGCCATTAGCATTTCACAGAATTTTTAGAATTCAGTCTCTCTGCTCGGACTTTCAATAGTGAGGTAATACAGTTAACAGCATTTGGGGAGCCCAATATTTAAAACAAACATTGTAAGTCTTTTTTTTTTTTAATAAAGTAAACATGTATAAAATTCCTTATTTTACTGTTTTTTTCCAAGTTTGGTTTTCATTGACTGCAAGGGGCAGGCCGGGCAGCCCTGGCTTGTGGGGGTGGCACCTACCTTCTGCCACGTGGCCTCTGTGTCATGTGTGAAGCCCAGTAGATGACAGAGCCCATGAGTGGCAGTCACCTGTTGAACAATTAAAAAGCTGCCTCAGGGGCTGACCATGACCAAGCCAGGAGCCAGGGGAGGAGGAAGGCAGGGAGAACTTAGCCCAATCTGGTGGGAGGTTAGGAACCCAGGCAGGGCTTCGGGAGTCGGTGGCAGCAGCACCGAGGGTGTGAGTGGGCGATGAGAACATGGGTGGGGTTCAGAAAACATCAGGTAGACCAGGGCCCTGTCAGGGATGTGAAGACCAGGATCTCTGGGGCAGGGAGGGGCAGTGATTATTTCCTGAGGAGACACCTGCTTTTCAGGGCAGAGGGAAGGGTTGGAGGAGTGGTGAGATGTGGAGGATAAGGTGGTAGTTGGAGGGTACCCAGGGCTATTAGAAGGTGCCTACGTGCAGTTGGCAGCCAGGAGGGTGGAGAGTGGCCTGGCTGGTCCTGTGGTGGGGGATGAGGGTCCCAGGAGTGGTGGGCTGGCCCTCTACTTCGATACAGAACCCTCAGGAGGTGCCAGGAAGTGAAATCAGATTTCCACAATTGCACTCTCGATCATGCCCACCCTCCCCCTGGGGTGCACCACTGCCGGCCATAGAGATCCAGAGCTGGACCCTGCTGACCAGTCCTGACTACACTGGGTTTCCTGATGCTCAGGAAGAAAGGGAAACCTCCTCTTTCCCCCCCAAAACCTGCTCACACTGAAAGCACTAGGACCCCCACCCCGCACCCCCTCCACAACATATTTCAGGGTGTGGCTACTTGGCCAAAGGAAGACCCTTCAATTGAATCCTTGGGGAAGTTAAAATATGACTCTATCACACTCAATACTTTCAGAACACTCCCCCGTGCCCCCTGCTTTTTAAAAATATATATATATAATAAGCTGAGGACAGATCTGGAAGGCCCTGGATGATAGAATTTTGTCTACTCTGGGCAGTTTCCTAAGAAGCTTATTCAGCAAGCCTACATTAACTACACAGCCTGCTGAGCGCACGGTAAAAGCTAAAACAAGGTCACTACTGGGAGTTTCCCTTATCTCACATCTCAGTTACGGAGAAACTCCCTGTCCTCTTCCTGCCCCTGGCACTGCCACAGGGCATGCAGATCCCACTCCACCACCTTCCTCTCCGTGGATCTCCCTCTCTGTGGGTCTCCCTCCATAACCCTTGTTCTTCACGTGGGCAATAGTGTGGACACAGGTGGCACGTCGCCAACCTCTTTATGGCCTGGATTAAGGACACGGTATTTCTTTTGCTAGGCAGAACCTGTCATTTCAGCATTCCTACTTACAGTCAGGATGTCATAGTAATCTTCATTTTCTTTGCACTGTTGGAAGATATACTCCACTCCTAGGAAAATGTCCCCCAGATTATAGTCATCTGGAAAATCCGGATGGGGGATTTCACCAGCTTTCAGGTTCTGCAAATGAGGAAACAGATTGTGAGAACAGGACCTCAGGAACACTAACCTGACGACAGGCCTACAGATTTCATTCTGGAAGGCACTGTCCTCTGACTAGTCCGGAGTGGGGGCGGGGGACCACAGGGCCACTACACACAAGTGATTTAAGATGTTTCCACCTTGTCCAATGAGTTCCTTTCCATTTCTTTCATCCTTCCCAATGCACAGTCACACAGATTATGTCTAGGAGTTAAATCACCACACTGATATAATTTTATATTTCTGTTCTTTCCTCCTGGTATTTTGTCCTAAATAGCCTTTCACATTTTCTTATTTAAAGACCATAAGCACCAGTCCATTCAGTTGAGTTCAGTTCACAGCAAGCCAGTAACCTATGGCTGCATATTTACTTCGTATTGTTAATGGCTTTTTTTCCTATTAAGGAAAATAAGTGAACCTTTTACAAAATTTAAAGTCTTTATTGTTGAAAGTTTTACATGTCTCCCTTTTCCCTCATTGACCTTTTCCTGGCTGCTCCCACTCCCCAGCACATGCCCTCACCCCCCTACTGTGTCCATTGGTTATACTTATATGCATGTATACAAGTCCTTTGGTTGATCTCTTACCCCTCCTTCATCCTCCCCTGACTTCCCTCTGAGGTTTGTTTGACGGTCTGTTCGATGTTTTTATGTCTCTGAATCTATTTTTGTTCATCAGTTTACGTTATTCATTATATTCCACAAATGAGTGAGATCCTGTGATACTTAATAACTGAACATTTTAATGCATTTTTATATTATGCATTTAACATTTTATAATCTTCCTTCTTTGGTTTATTTCTGTGGGTGTGACACTAGTGGATTGAAGTCTGTTGCCAAGCTGCTTTCCAATTTATGCTGCTACTAACCCCTGTGTAAAGCCCAGAATGACTCATCTGCATAACTGAGAGTGATCTGACAGCTATCACAAGTTTGTAGAAAATATTTACACAAGTTTCTTCTTATATTCAGTGTTATTTAATTTTTAACCATACATATTCATTACTGATTCACACTCAAAACTGCTAATTCACTGCTCCCATTAGGTGGGGAGAGGGGAGCTCAATCCCCTTTTCTCCTTCAGAAATGGGCATTGATCAATAGGGTTGATCTCTACTCTTGTGTATATTGTGAAAGTTTTCAAAATAAAACTAACAAATCATGTCTGTAGTATAATAAACACAGGAAATTTACACTGAATGGTAGGCTAGACAAGGCGAGGAGGAAAGTACTTTTTACCTCATGAAAGGGAAAAGAAAGCACATCAGTTGGGGTGTTTTTCTCTCTGTAGATCCTGTTGATGTGCTGAATACTCTTGTTGTCAACACAGATGATGCCCAGGTCGAATTTCTGGACTCCTAAAATACTCCTGACGATCTCCATCCTCTGGCGGAGCGGCACTCTCCGCAGGGGGACAGCTCGCTGCAGGTTTCTGAGCACCAGACTCATTCCAGGAGGACAGCGGGGCACTTTAAAAAAGTCTGTAAAGGAATCTGTGCTTCAAGTTGGAGAGAAGACAAATCAGTCCTAGGAAGTGCAACACGCACACAAAATCAAGTCATTTTATTTGGTGCAATTCACTGAAAAAAAAAATTACAGGAATTTACATTTTACCATACGAAAAATATAAAAATGAAGGTCTCTAAAACGACGCCAAAGTCAGGCAAGCCAGAAGGGGTAACAGTAGCCACAGGAAATGAAGGCTGGTGGAGAGGAAGGGACATTAATAGTGCGGGCGGGTGAGCGGGGTCGGGGCAGTGGAAGTGGAGGAGGGGAGGGAAGAATGGGGGGGGGGGCTGAGAAATGAGGATGGGGCGCCCGGCCGGATCCAGGGGTTCCCCAGGAACCGCTCAGCGCTGATCCCTGGCAGCACGCGGGTGGACTGACGTCCCCCAAGTTCGAAGAGAAGAAGCCACCCGCGTTGGAAGGGGGACCGAAGCCTGAGGACCCAACCCTTGTCCCCGCGCACCGGAAGCCCCACCGCCGCCGCTCAGCCGGAGGGGGGAACCCGAGCTTGCAGGGCTGCGGGCGGGGCCGGATTGCTCAGGTAGGACCGGAAGTCGGTCCACCACTGTTTTGGTCCGTGGCGCGCAGGGAAGCGCTGGTTCCGGCGGTCTTGGTCTGAGCTACCAGCTAGGCGCCGAGGTACCCCGAAGCGGCGTCGTCCCTGAGCCGGACCGTGAGCGCTGCGCGGGGTCAGGGCCGGGCGGAGGTTGCCCCTTACTCGCTCGCCGTTCCCCGGCCCCGATTCGCGCGTGTCGCTAAAGGGGCGGGACAGCGAGGCGCCGGGCCCAGGGTACGGCCTGTGCGGGGACCTATGGAGCCGCCTACTAGTTGGGGTCGTGATGCTCCGCTCCAGCCCTCCCGAGTCTAGGGCGGCCTCTCCACGTGAGTACTCTTTTTTTTTCTGTTTATTTTATTTTAAATTAAATCTTTATTGTTCAGATTATTACAGTTGTTCCTCTTTTTTTTTCCCCATAGCTCTCCTCCACCCACTTCCCACCCTACCCTCTGCCCTTACCCCTCCCACTGTTCTCATCCATAGGTGCACGATTTTTGTCCAGTCTCTTCCCGCATTCCCCACACCCCTTTCCCCCCAAGAATTGTCAGTCCACTCCCTTTCTATGCCGCTGGTTCTATTATATTCACCACTTTACTCTCTGTTCATCAGATTTTTGATTCACTTGATTTTTAGATTCACTTGTTGATAGATATGTATTTGTTGTTCATAATTTGTATCTTTACCTTTTTCTTCTCCTTCCTCTTCTTAAAGGATACCTTTCAGCATTTCATATAATACTGGTTTGGTGGTGATGAACTCCTTTAGCTTTTTCTTATCAGTGAAGCTCTTTACCTGACCTTCAATTCTGAATGATAGCTTTGCTGGGTAAAGTAATCTTGGTTGTAGGTTCTTGCTATTCATCACTTTGAATATTTCTTGCCACTCCCTTCTGGCCTGCATAGTGTCTGTTGAGAAATCAGCTGACAGTCGTATGGGTACTTCCTTGTAGGTAACTGACCGTTTTTCTCTGGCTGCTTTTAAGATTCTCTCTTTGTCTTTTGCTCTTGGCATATTAATTATGATGTGTCTTGGTGTGGTCCTCTTTGGATTCCTTTTGTTTGGGGTTCTTTGTGCTTCCTGGACTTGTAAGTCTATTTCTTTCACCAGGTAGGGGAAGTTTTCTGTCATTATTTCTCCAAATAGGTTTTCAATATCTTTCTCTCTCTCTTCTTCTGGCATCCCTATAATTCGGATGTTGGTATGCTTGAAGTTGTCCCAGAGGCTCGTTACACTAACTTCATATTTTTGGATTATTTTTTCTTTTTGTTTTTCCAGTTGGGTGTTTTATGTTTCTTCATATTTCAAATCTTTGACTTGATTCTTGGGATCCTCTAGTCTGCTGTTGGAATTCTGTATAATATTCTTTTTTATTTATTTAAATTGTTTTATTGCTTAAAGTATTACAAAGAGTATTATCCTTGAGGGTCTCACTAGATTTATCGAGGGTCTCACTAAATTTATCGGCAGTTTCTAGAAAATTCTTGAAAAACCTTATAACCATGGTTTTGAACTCTATATCCAGTAGTTTGCTTTCCTCCATTTCTGTCATTTGTGACCTGTTTCTTTGTCTCCGCATTTTGGCTGCTCCCTGTGTTGATAGAGTGGCTTTCTGTGCTAGGTGTCCTATAGGGCCCAGTGGCTCAGCCTCCCCAATTACCTGAGGTGGACACCCTTGGTGTACCCCTTTGTGGGCTTTGGGCACAGTCTTGTAGTTAAGCTTTGATTGCTGTTGGTATCACTGGGAGGAATTGACCTCCAGGCCAATTGGCTGTGAGATTCAGCTGTGTCTACGGCAGTGGGAGACTCTGTGCTGAGACACTCTGAGGCAGACTGCTCAGTGGGGCTTTGGTGCTCACTGAGTCTGCCCCCTGAGCATGTCCCTTATGGATCTGAGGAGTTGTAATCTGGATGGTCCCACTCTGACCACTGGGTATACTGGCTCTTGGATCTCTAAGGAGGTGCTAATTTAGCCTCTGCCTGAGGCTACCCAGCAGGAGCTATGGAGAGATCTGCAGATTCCTCTTCCTTGTTTGGGGTTTGGAGGTGCCCAGATGAGGCCCAGCTGTGAAGCAATGCAAGCTGCTGTGGGGCCTTGAGCCTTCTCTTGGAAGTTCTGGGTCTGTCTGGCCCAGCTGCAGTTTGTTAGGTAATTTTCAGGTTGCAAAGGGCCAGGGCATTCGTAAAAGCCTTTGCGGCAGCTTGGGTGGGGCGGGGTCTCAGGGGATCAACAGGGCGGAGCAAGCAGCTATGGCTGATCCTCAGCCCTGCCCTAAAGGGCCCCGTGTCTCAGTGCCGCTGCAAGCACCTGTGAGAGAAAGCCACCCTCCAGTTCCGAGTTCTGCTCACTGCCAGACAGTCCAGTTTCTCCCGGTATGCGTCTGGGTCCCCAGAGACTCACCTGGAACTGGAGTTCAGAGCAGTCGGGGGCTTGTGACTCCCTCCTGATTCAAAAAGACAGCCGTGTCCTCAGTTGCCAGCTCTTGCCGTGTGCACCTCCGTACCTCTGTACTTTACTTCCGCACCGCAGCTCCTGTGAGTCTCAGTGTGCTTTTCTCTTTGCTTCTAGTTGTAGAGTTTCCACTCAGCCAGCCTTCCTGTGGTTCTGGATGATGTCCGTTTTGTCTTTTAGTTGTAGTTTTGAAGTTGTTTTGGGAGGCAGCAATTTCTGGTGTTTACCTATGCCGCCATCTTGGTTTCTCTGGACGTGAGTACTCTTGACCTCAAAGCTGGTTCGTTGGAGGAGTAGCCCCGGTATAAAAACATTTCATTTCTGGGTCTGGAAATAGTATTTAGTGTTAAGGTTACTTGGAGAATAATTAGGTGGGAGAACTGAAACACTGATGTTCTAATTGTCACAGTGTAATTGTCTGGCTATGGAGATTGGAAGAAGTTAGGAGAAACTGCTCTCTTCAACTTGAAAAGTGTAATAACATTCCTTTTTTTTTAAATTAACATTTGAGGTTTTTGGTGAATTTACCAATTTAGTAAAATGATTTGGCCTTTAGTCACGCCTTAAACATTTGTAATAAAGTAATGTATTTATATCGTCCTCCACCCCATACTCCCCCCCGCAAAAAAAAGAAAGAAAAGAAACGAAAAAGAACCCACTATCTCTCAGAAAATAAGAATACTTGGCCCTTCGCTTTGTCTGCCTATTAAATAATTTAGAATGTGACATGTGATGAAAAATTCTGTTCTTAGTTTTCCAGCAGCACAAAACTCTGATGATCTAAATTTTTATCTTTCAGCTTACATGAAATGAAGGGGGGAGCTCCCTAGTTCAACAAACTGTTTAAGGAAGAGGACTGCTTTGTACAGGGAAATCTTCATTACCTTCCAGTAACTGGATCAGAAGATGAACCCACCTAATCCTTTCAGCGGGCAGCAGCCTAGTGCTTTTTTAACATCTTCCAGTAGTTCCATAGGAACAGCTCAGGCTAAGCAACCCTTTCGATTTGGTCAGCCTTCTCTTTTTGGACAAAACAACACAGTATCTGGGAAAAGCTCAGGATTTTCACAGATATCTAGCTTTCCAACGTCTGGAGTAGGTCACTCTTCTTCAGCACAAACATTAGGATTCTCCCAAACCTCAAATGTTGGACTCTTTTCTGGACTTGAACACACTCCATCCTTTCTATCTGCCTCTGGGCCTTCAAGTTCATGTGTGCCTGGAAACCCAGGATTTACTTTTAAATCACCCAACCTTGGGGCTTTCCCAAGTACTTCTACTTTTGCACCAGAAACTGGAGAAGTAGCAAGCTATGGTTTGGGGAAAACAGAGTTCAGCTTTAAATCTCTGGAAAATTCAGTGTTCAGACCAATATTGGGGGCTGAATCTGAGCCAGAGAAAACTCAAAGCCAAATTACTTCCGGATTTTTCACATTTTCCCAACCAATTAGTAGTGGACCTGGAGGACAGGCTCCATTTTCTTTTACACAGGTGACAAGTTCAGCTACTAAATCAAATTTTACCTTTTCGAAACCAGTTGATAGTAGTAATTCATCATCACCCTTTGCCCTTGCTTTGTCAAGTCAAAATGTGGAGGAAGAGAAGAAAGGCCCTAAATCACTATTTGGAAGTCTTAATAGTAGCTTCACTAGCTTCCCCACATCTTCTTCAGGATCATTGGGGGAACCCTTCCCAGTTAGCAAAACAGGTGCCAGACAAGGCTGTGAAGAAACTGTTTCCCAAGTGGAGCCACTTTGCAGCTTCATGAAGGGACTGAAAAGGAAGGAGGATCAGGATCGCTCCCCAAGGAGATACGGCCACGACGCAGTGGAAGACCTGGACCCTCTCTCGAGGGGTGATCATCCTCCCGATAAGCGGCCGGTCCGCCTGAATCGGCCCCGGGGAGGTACTCTGTTTGGTCGGACCATACAGGATGTTTTCAAAAGCAATAAAGAAGTCAGTCGTCTGGGCAACAAGGAATCTAGAAAAGAAATTGGCTGTGCCGAGTCTGGGGAAAATGATCACATGGCCATACCAGGAGGGAGTCAGTCTGTTCTGGCAGCTTCCCGGCTTCCAGGTGTGAAAGAGGAAGAAACCGAAAGAGATAAAAAAGAAGGTGAGTTCTAAAAATGTACAGCATGCAGTAAACCTTGCTGTATGGCAAGTTCTTGGTAAACTTTCCTGGGTGTTAGCTTGATTTTTTTTGGTTAAGTCCTGTAAACATTAGGGACATTAATATACCATAGGATCTTGGAGCAGGTCTCACACACATGGAAATTTCCTTTGCCCTTCCATAGTTGGTGCCTCCTGTTTGGAAACATTACATCCACTACAGTTCTGTGCCTATTTTCTGATCCCCTAGATTTTTTAAGAGGAACTCCTGGGCGTCAGAATAAAAGAAGTGAGAGCACAGACAGTCTTGGGGGCTTCTCTCCCTCTGAAGTCACAGCGATCCAGTGCAAGAACATTCCCGACCGTCTCAACAACAGGACCTTTCTGGAGAAACACTTTGGCAAAATTGCTAAAGTGCAGCGCACTTACAGCAGGCGCAACAAACACCTCGCGGTGGTGTATTTCTTTGATCATGTAAGTACTCCCAACTGAGTTTGTGTGAGTGAAAAAATAGTTTTAAAGTAATGAAGTAGGAATGAACTTTGTCACTTCAAAACCTTTTTTTTTAAAATCAGTTATTTGCTTGCTAGAATGTAGGAAAGTACTAGAATATTTTGTTCTTACCTTGCAGAGGCTAGAGTAGCACTTTTCTTCAAAATTGGAGTCATTAGTGAAAAGCTTGTAGCCCCTACTGAATGCTGTGGTGAGTCCCATGAAGTCAGATTCTTCTGAAACACACTGGATTGGCTCTGTAACCACACAGCACTTTTTCAAACTTGAGTTCTGTTTTGTTTTTGATTTATTTGGTCATAGTACACGATGGCTATAGATACTCAAACAATACAGAAAAAGTGAAATCCCCTTATAATCACATTCCCCAGAGATATGTTTGGTTTATACCCTAATTTTAAATACATCGTCGGGCAGAAGTAGGTTTATAGTTGTTGGTATGGAAAATAACACAATAATTAATAAATAATAATATGAGAATAAACTGTTTCACATACAACTGTAAACCCACTTACTAGTATGCCCCATCCTGTATGTATGTAAGTACACCTGTGCATAACAGCTGTAGCTCACATTATGTAGATTTATATCTTTATTATTTTAAAAAATATTCTTGTGGGGGAAAAAGTAAGTTCTATAGGAATTTACAAGGTAGAAAGCATGTTTTCATACTTTTGTTAACTAGAAGTATTGCCTGTCAATATACTATGGGAGGACCATCAAATCACCCATAATTCTCTCCTCCAGGATATTGACTGAATATTCTGGATAGTGTCTTTGCAAATATAGGGTCGCATTGTTTTTGCACAAATGGGATCATACTGTAAATACTGTTGGTAATCTCTTCATGTAACAATCTTTAGTATTTTCTGAAATTAATTAGCTGCCTAGATTAGAATTGGATTGTTAAATGCTACCTGGCATTCTATCCTGTTTACTTTCTTGGTCAGCATTCTACTTGTGGACAGTTTTGTGCATATATTTTTGATTAGTTTATATCCTTTGTTTAAATTTCTTAAAGTGGAAGTTTTGTGTAAATATGTGCACAGTTTTAGGGTTTTTGCTATTTATTCCTTCCTATTGATTTTTTTTTCAAGTCAGTGGCATTAATTACATTCACAGTGTTGTGCATTCAACACCCCTATCTATTTCCAGAACTTTTGCATCATCCCAAATAGAAACTCAATAACTATTAAGTGATAACTCCCCATTGCCTCCATCCCCAGCCTCTGGTGACCTCTAATCTACTTTTTATTTCTGTGAATTTGCCTATTGTAGATATTTCAAATAAGTGGAATCATACAGTTTGTCCTTTTCTGTCTGTCTTTTTTCATCATGTTTTCAAGATTCATTCATATGGTTGCATTTCATTTCTTTTTATGGCTGAATAATATTTCATTTTATGGATAGACCACATTTTGTTTATTTATCTGTTAATGGACACAGATTGATTCTACCTTCTGGCTATCTTACTAATAAAAGGCTAGGTGGTCCTCACACCTTGATGCCCTCACGCGGTCACAAGATGGCTGCACGTGTTGCGGGGGCCGTGCCCGGCAGCTGCTCCACTCAGCTTCGGCCAGGGTTCCCGCAGCCCTGCGGGGGTGCTGCAGGGGCGGGGCCCAGTGAGGGCTGGTTGGGGTTCCTGTGCCTGTTGCCCGCCACGGAGGCGGGACCCCCAGCTCCGGCCTACCTCTTTGGGGCAATCCGTCGAGGAGCCCCGAATGGGTGGGCAGTGCCTACCTCTTTGGGGCGATCGATTTCGGGGCTCCCGCACTGTGAGGGCACAGAGCCAGGCTAGGGGACCCCCCCCCAACCCCAGAGTGCATGAATTTTGTGCACCGGGCCTCTAGTTTTAACTAATGTTGCCCTGAATTTTGTGGTGTGCAAATCTCTCCTGAGACCCTGCTTTCAGTTCTGTTGGGTATATACTTAAGGGTGGAATTGCTGGGTCTTATGGTATATACTTAGGGGTGGAATTGCTGGGTCATTATTTTAAACTAGAGACCTGGTGCACGAGATGCATGCACTGGGGGGTGGGGTCCCTCAGCCCAGCCAGTGGCCTCTTGCAGTCCAGGAGCCCTTGGGGGATGTCCGACTGACTGAAGGAGCAGGCCTGGGCTGGTAGTCCTACATCCTTAGGGCTGCGCGGAGGCAGGAGAGGCTCCTGCCACTGCTGCTGTGCTTACCACCTGTGAGCCTGGCTTCTGGCTGAGTGGCGCTCCCCCGTGGGAGCGCACTGACCGCCAGGGGGCAGCTCCTGCATTGAACATCTGCCCTCTGGTGGTCAGTGTGCATCATAGCGACTGGTCGTTCTGCCATTCGTTCGATTTGCATATTAGCCTTTATTATATAGGAAGTTATTTTTTGCCTATTGCAATGTGCTTATTTTTCCAGCTGAATCCTAAAAAATATACAATAAATAACATAACATGATATATAAAAACTTTGTTATTGTAAGCAATTCATTGGTAACACAAAGCTGAGGTCCTTGATCACCCCCAACTTTCCTGTTACCCAGGATCCAGTACAGTTACTAGAGTGGTGTGTATTTTTTCTGGACATTTTCATAGGTATATTTGTAGGTATACTAACATGTACTTGGTTTATGTGTTTTGTGATACATTCTATCCTGTGTGCATCATTCTGCAGCTTCCATTTGTGTGTGCGTGTGACTTGGCTGTATCTTTCCATGTTATATATGTTATCAGATAGTGAGAATCATTTTACCAAGTGCCAGTGAGGCCATGGTTATGGGTTCTAAAGTCATTAATTAAAAAAAATAAAGAGAGCAAATATCAGATGTGAGACAAGTAAAGGACTGCAGTTCCCAAGGCTGGAGGCCGATAGTGTGGTCAGCCACGTAGTGGGTGGAGGTTTTGCTCTGTTGCACGAACTTTTGTTGACTATTTTTGATATTGAATTTCATTTCCTGTGGACTCCTGATGCCTCACACTCTGAGTTGTGGACTGTTTTCCAGGCTTCTGCAGCCCTGGCCAGGAAGAAGGGGAAAAAAGGTTTGCCTGAAGAAACGTCTATCTTTTGGCACAAGAAGAAAATGAGTGAGTGTTCAGATATTCTTTGGAGTCTCTAATGCTTTGTTTGCAAGACCCTTTAAGCTTTGAGTGGGAGCCCTTCCCCAAGGCCAAAAGGGGGGTGGCTCCACGTGGATCCTTTTGTCTCAGTGTTTCCTTGGGCTCCTTTGTAACCTCATGTAACAATTATAAGAATTTTACTTTCTCAAAAAAAAAAAAAAAAAAAAGTATCAAGTGACATGTAATATCATATACACTCCATTCTGACTCTTGCATCCTCAGGTCCCAACAAGAAACCTTTTTCCCTCAAGGAGAAGAAACCAGGTGAGGGTGAGGCTGGCCAGGGCACCGAGGACACATCCTTTCAGCACTCCCCTCTTGGCAAGCCCATGGGGAGGACTACAGTCGGCAGCCTCATGAATAAAAGGTGCGGCTGGTTGTTCCTATGACTTTAGTTGACATGGCACGTGGGGTTTTTGTCAGTAAACAGGAGGGACTTCACAGCAGTCCTGCCAAAGCATGAAAGGGAAGTGGGGTAATATACTAACACTGAGTAGGCTAAGGGAAGGCGGAGGGAGAGGAGAACAGTGGAGAGGAGTGGGAGTGGGAAAGAACGTAAGAGGGTTGACAAAGAGAGCCACTTGCTAGTTCCCTGAAGAGGCCCTGGGGCTCCTCAATCATCTGACTGGGTCCCATGCATTATACAGTTGCTGTCAGTAGTTCTACCTGACATGTAAATGAATAAGCAGTCACGTTTTCCCTTAAAACTTCTAACTAGCTGTCATAACCATGTATTCCTAATAGCCATAGAGCAATTTCCAACAGGGCTTTTTGTAGGTTCAGCTTATCACATGAGGCTGCATAATAACTGGGTAGCCACAGTGTATTCCAATGGGGTGCTGTCTCCTTCCAAATGCTCCCTCCCCCCCCCCCCCCCCCCCTTCTTGGAGCTCCCACCTTCCCTTTCACAGCAGGACTGCTTCCACAGGTCTGTAATCCTTCACCTATTTCAGCCAATGTATTTTCCTCACTTTCAATTTCGCAATTAACAATTTAGTTTCTGATTTGCTTTTGTTTTTGCTTTTCTCACCCCTTTAAAAAAATTTTTTTTTAAATTGATTTCAGAGAGGAAGGGAGAGGGAGAGAGATATAGAAACATCAGTGATGAGAGAGAATCATTGATTGGCTGCCTCTTGCACACCCCACACTGGGGATCGAGCTGGCAACCCGGGCATGTGCCCTCACCAGGAATCGAACTGTGACCTCCTGCTTCATAGGTCGATGCTCAGTCACTGACCATGCCGGCCAGGTACTCCACCCTTCTTATATCTTCTTTGACATTGGAGCTCACAGAATTCTGAGAGTCTGCTGGAAAATGGGGAAGCTGAGAGGGGATACCCAGTTTTTTATAGTACATTCTTCTACTGAAATGAAGTTATGTATGAAAACATGTGGACATGATATTTCTTCATGGTGGTAAAGTGTTGTTTTTCAGGCTGAATTTCATTTCTTTGAGATAGTCTATAAATATTCATTTCAGCTGTTTAAATGGGCTCATCTCATTTTTAAAAAGTATGAAATGTTTAAAAAATTTTAAATCACAGATAATATGAGTAACATCATTTTGCTCATTACCAGCATTATCAAAGCTTGTCTCACTTAAAAGTTTATAGTTTATTAGCTTTAGAGGAGCAGAAAATCTTGAAAGATAAGGGAGGTGTTTGGAAGTGGACATTTGCAGATGCCAGATGGACACAAGGCTCTGATATGTTGCTTTCTCTGTAGCTCTCCAGTGAAGAAGTCAGGCCTTCTGAAGGCCCACCTGTTTGAAGGAGACTCTTTTGACTCGGGCTCTGAGAGTTCTGAGAGTCCTGGGCTGTGTGTGTCCTCCCTCAGTGCGCTGATAGGCACTGTGGCCGAAACGTCTGAGGAAAAGTACCGCCTGCTTGACCAGAGGGACAGAATCATGAGGCAAGGTATGGTGACTGCCTCTGTGCAGAGGTCCAGAGACCCTTGTAGGTCATGGAAATTCATCAAGATTTATTGTGAAGTAAGAACGGCAAGGTGCAGGAAGTCGGTAGTGTGCTACTATTTGTGTTCAATTAAGGGGGAAACTGTGTTATGTCCCCATATGTAAGCATACTTGCTTTATGTGTTCATAAAATAGTCATGGAAGATGGGAAGAGTCTGCTCATACTGGTTGTCATGAGAGAGGGTGCAAGGTGTGAGGGTGTGCTCTATTTTGGATGTTGTTATACCTTTGGGTTATTGAACCATGTGAATGTATTACCTATTCCAAAAGTAAGTATTCTATTAACATTAAAACGATGTGCAGTGAAAAAAATAAAAGAAAAAGGCATATGTGCTTTTTGCAAAGTTTTAATTAAATTTTAACTGTAGGATTTTTCTCTTTTCAAAAGCTGTGAATCAGTGGAATAATCCCAGTGCCTCCTTAACACTGTAATAAAAGCTGCCATCATAAATTATGTCACTGACATGGTGATTTTTATATTCCAAATAAAATTATTACTAGACATTAGAATTTTCCAAAATAAAAATAAGATGTATATATTTCAAATTATGAAGTTGTTCATTCCATTTCATTTAAAAGATACTTTTTTTTAATTGTTAAAAGTATTACAGATGTTCCCTTTTTTCCCCCATTGACCCCCATCCACCCCACACCATTCCTCCCAGGCTAAAAGATACTTTTGTAATTATTTTAATTCTGTGGATAATAATAGAGATTTATGCAGGTCAGGACCAGGTAACTTTCATTATGTGATTCTTGTTACATTAAAAATACGAAATACTTAAAATAATGATATATGTACATTTAACAAATTGATTCTTTTAACATACTGCAGCCATGAGTATTTATTATTGAGGTCATTATAGGAGCCCTGAATGCATTGTGGGCCCCTCTGCCTGTGGTGTGCAGTGAAGAGATCTGTCTGGAGAGGCAAGAAGGCCTTGGGGTCTTTGCAGGCCTTGATGCCCTGCACATCCCCCTCCCCCCTGCATATAGGCCAGTGATGGCGAACCTATGACAACTCACTTTTTTGGTTGATTTTTCTTTGTTAAATGGCATTTAAATATATAAAATAAATATCAAAAATATAAGTCTGTTTTACTATGGTTGCAAATATCAAAAAATTTCTATATGTGACACGGCACCAGAGTTAAGTTAGGGTTTTTCAAAATGCTGACACGCCGAGCTCAAAAGGTTCGCCATCACTGGTATAGGCCACGCTTTTCTTTCCCAGAGTCCCACTGTTTAAAAAGTTTTTCTTTTTGTGTGATTTGTGTGATGTTTGTTCTTATTTTATCACTAGAAGCCCGATGCACGAAATTCATGCAAGGGGCTCGGCCCTCGCAGCCCCAGCTTTGTCCAGTCTAATTAGCATATTACACTTTTATTATTATAGTTTACGAAAACACACTTCGCTGAATTCTCCATACTGTGTGGTATGTTCTTACTATTTACTTGATGTCATTTAGCTCGGGTGAAAAGAACCGATCTGGACAAAGCAAGGACGTTTGTTGGGACGTGCCCTGACATGTGTCCTGAGAAGGAGCGGTACATGCGGGAGACCCGGAGCCAGCTGAGTGTATTTGAAGTGATCCCAGGAACTGACCAGGTGGAGCCCCATGCCCCCCATTGTGTACAATTGTTTGTATTGTGAGTTGTGTACTAAGCAATCTTGTACAGGACCATACAGGTCCCTAAGGTATAGATACAGATATAAATGCAGAATTATTTCATAGATGAAAAAAACTTTTTTCTTTTCACAGTTTTATTCCTATGTTTATGTTTTGCACATTTGAGATTATGTTCTGGATACAATTTTGTATGATTTTTTTTCAGTTACGATTATATCATAAGCATTTTTTTGTTATAATGAACTCTTTATAAGCAATTTTAAATGACGGCATATTATTTAATTATGTAGTTCTGTCCACGCTCCCCATTTTGCAACCATTAGATAGGCTGTTTCTAATTTTTCAATTATGTTAATTCATTTGGGCATGCTGTGTGTAATGCCTCGGAGGTGATTAGATGATTTCCTTCAGATAGTTAACTCTGTCAGAGGGTATGACCTTTCTTCAGCTTCCTGAACATGTGCCTGTTCATGTCCCTAAATTGTTTCCCAGAAATCACCATGTTAGGCCCTTTTATTCTTTTGTTCGTTTTGGGCTTTTCCTCCTCTTCTGGCTGGTGGTTTTATAGCTGCCTTTACCCAGCGCAGGGCCCTCAGTCAGGCAGCAGTTGTCACAGCAGAGGCCCTGGGCTCCTGCTCACCAGGCCCTTGCTTCTGCTATGCCCCCCAGTCCTCACTGTTGTCTCCATTTCATTCCTGGTCTGTGTAGACGTAGTCTGGTGTTTGAGCATGGCTAAGACCTTTGAAAATGCCTTCAAGTCCTTTACCTGTCACACTGCTGTGCTTGGGGCCAAGCAGGTGTGTCTTCACTTACATTCCTCTGCTTTTTTTTTTTTTAAGTTCTTTTTTTACTGTTTATAGTATTACATATGTCTCCTTTTTCCCCCATCGACCCCTCCCCGGCCACTGCCACCCTCCAGGGCGAGCCCCCACCATCCCAGTGTCCGTGTCCATTGGTTATGCCAGTGGTTGGTTATGCCAGTGGTTGGCAAAACCGCGGGGTCGCGAGGCCCCCTGCGCTCTTTGGCCCCTTGAGTGTGGCTCTTCCACAAAATACCGACTTCTGTGCATGGGCCATGAAGTTTCAATCGCACTGTACGTGCGCGCCCCCATGTGGTATTTTGTGGAAGAGCCACACTCAAGGGGCCAAAGAGCCACATGTGGCTTGAGAGCCGCGGTTTGCCCAACACGGGGTTATGCTAATACACATGCATACAAGTCCTTTGGTTGATCTCTTACATCCCTGCCCCCCGCTCCCGCCTTCCCCTACCTTTCCTTTGAGGTTTGACAGTTCATTCAGTGCTTCTCTGTCTCTGGATTCATTTTTGTTCATCAGTCTATGTTGTTCATCGTATTCTACAAATGAGTGAGATCATGTGGTATTTATCTTTCTCTGACTGGCTTATTTCACTTAACATAATGCTCTCCAGTTCCATCCATGCTGTTGCAAGTGGTAAGAGTTCCTTCTTTTTTACTGCAGCATAGTATTCCATTGTGTAGATGTACCACAGTTTTTTAATCCACTCATCTGCTGATGGGCACTTAGGCTGTTTCCAAATCTTAGCTATTATAAATTGTGCTGCTATGAACATAGGGGTGCATATGTCCTTTCTGATTGGTGTTTCTGTTTTCTTGGGCTATATTCCTAGAAGTGGGATCACTGGGTCAAATGGGAGTTCCATTTTTAACTTTTTGAGGAAACTTCATACTGTTTTCCACAGAGGCTGCATCAGTCTGCTTTCCCACCAGCAGTGCACGAGGGTTCCTTTTTCTCCACATATCACCAGCACTTGTCATTTGTTGTTTGTTGATGATAGCCATTCTGACAGGTGTGAGATGGTACCTCATTGTTGTTTTGATTTTCATCTCTCGGATGATGAGTGACTTTGAGCATGTTTTCATGTGTCTCTTCACCTTCTGTATGTCCTCTTTTGAAAAGTGTCTACGTATTTAGGCCCTTTGCCGATTTTTTGTATTCCTCTGCTTCTTGATGTGATAACCACTGATGTTCAAAATATGTTTCTCATTTTATTTTGTCTTTGAATTTGGTTGTTACCTTTAAACAGAATTTTACACATAGAAATTGTATTCTGTAGTATTGATCCTGTGTGAGTGTGTGTGCGATCTCACCCCCTTACTTTAAGGCACAGCTGCTGAGAGGTTGGCTCAGCACCTGCCACCCAGCTGCTTGTCCCCACTCTGCCTTCAGGTGGACCACGCGGCAGCTGTCAAGGAGTACAGTCGCTCCTCAGCCGACCAGGAGGAGCCCCTGTCACATGAGCTGCGGCCCTCAGCAGTGCTCAGCAGGACCATGGATTACCTGGTGACCCAGATTATGGACCAGAAGGAGGGCAGCCTGCGGGACTGGTATGACTTCCTGTGGAACCGCACACGGGGCATACGGAAGGTATCCGCCTCTTCTCATTAAGAAACTAGAAAAAGTATGCGAATTCCTAAGTGAAAGTGAGAGTTTTGTCATTTTACTGTTCTATTTTATCTGTAACACCAAGTATACTATTATTTAAAATCATTACAAATTCTTATTAAAGTGCTCTTTATGGGCTTTGTTTCAAATTGAAATATGAGAAATTCAGCTAATAAACATGATTTTTTTAGTAGTTGATTCTCTGCATGGGAATATGTGCATGGGATCTGTGTCTACGAAACACATAAGCATATAAGGTGTGTGTGCATTCATGTGTAATATTCCCCTCTTGTGGCCAGGACATCACGCAGCAGCACCTGTGTGATCCCATGACGGTGTCCCTGATTGAGAAGTGTGCCCGGCTTCATATCCACTGTGCTCACTTCATGTGCGAGGAGCCCATGTCCTCCTTTGATGCCAAGATCAACAATGAGAACATGACCAAGTGCCTTCAGAGTCTGAAGGAGATGTACCAAGACCTGAGGAACAAGGGCGTGTTCTGTGTCAGCGAAGCTGAGTTCCAGGGCTACAATGTGCTGCTCAATCTCAACAAGGGGGACATCCTAAGGTGACTTTTCAATTCCGGAGCTGGCCTACGCTGTCTGGAAATGGAAAGCAGGGTGTAAACAGGGAAAGAGCTGTCGGGATTAGCAGTAGCTGTTAGTGCTGCCTTGTCTCTGGTCCGTAATGCTGGGATGACAGTAAGAAACCTGGGCTGGGCTCAGTCCCTTGACCTGGGCCACTGGGAGCAGAATGGATGTACGCTAACACCAGCACATCTAAAGTTGCTCCAAATCCTTCCTGAGAATAATTTTTCCTTGTCAACAAGAGGAAATGAGGAAGGAATGGGCCCGATGAGTAGAATAGGTGAGTGAACCAGGACAGCAATGCCCAGGGTGCCCTTTCAGAGCTGTTAGCGATTTGCCTTTATGACCCTCTTTCTCAGTATGGTTGAAATCTAGTTTTTATCAGATCTTTTTTTATGGAATATTTTGTCAAATTAATCTTAAAATTTTCTAATCTCTTTTATCTCTTTTAATTAACAGAGAAGTACAACAGTTCCATCCGGCTGTTAGAAACTCCTCTGAGGTGAAATTTGCTGTTCAGGCTTTTGCTGCATTGAACAGTAATAATTTTGTGAGATTTTTCAAACTGGTCCAGTCAGCTTCTTATTTGAACGCTTGTCTTTTACATTGCTACTTTAATCAGGTGAGTAATGTTACTGTACTTGCAGAATTAGAAGAAAGCAGGTTGTTATTTATGATAAATAAATATATTTGTTGTTGTTAATCAACACCTTAGGATATTTTTTCCATTGATTTTTTTAGACAGAGTGGAAGGGAGGCAAGGAGAAGGGGGGAGAGAGAGAGGAGAGAGACACGACATCGATTGAGAGAGACACATCAATTGGTTGCCTCCAACACGAACCCCAAACAGGGCTGAGGATGGAATGTGCAACCCATATACCTGCCCTTGACTGGGAATTGAACCCACAACCCTTCAGTGCGCAGGCCAACGCTCTAATCACTGAACATACTGGCCAGGGCATTACATGATATGACATTTAAGTGCTTTATTCCATGAAGGTTTCAGACAGGTCTGGGGCTAACTCTTGTGCAGCCCTCATGGCAGCCCCCCAGGGTCACTGGTGTAACCCCATTCTACAGGGGTTACCATCGTTTATCACTGAAGGCAATGAAAAACACTGTACTTACAGTTTATTTATTTTTGTGTGTGTGTACTTACAGTTTAGATAAGAAAAATCTCTTTAGAACCATGTAACTAAAGTTTAGAACTTTATATTCCCTGGGAAGCAAATAACTGCATGCATAAAGTCTCTAACATAGAAATTCTCAGTGATATGACATTTTTAGAGAGCCTGATGATGCTAAATGCATTTCAATAAATATGTCAGGTGCCTACTCTTTGTCGATGCTGTGCTGTGCTCTGGGGTTACAAAGGCGGGCACCTGGGGCTTTGCCAAAAGTGTGAGCTCCTGGTCTCAGAATCTCCAGTCAGGTCTTCAGCCCCAGCCCCAGGGCACTTGGGGATGATGACAGAGCAGCCCACGCCTGCCTCCGCTGTACACTGTGCTGCTCCCCCTGCATGGGGTGGAGGGTGCCACCAGCAGAGTCCTTGCTGAGAGCCCTTGGGTTCCACTGGGTGTGCAGGAAGCTGCCTGGGAGACCTCAGGGACCTGCTGGCTGGTTCTTGTGACTCCAGGTCATTCTTCTTCTTGGTCACACAAAATGCCCTCCTGTAAACAGTGACTAAACACATTCCAGGCAAAGAATCTTCTGCAGGTGTGCTCATTGTCAGATCTGACGGTTGCCAATAGGACTGAAATTCTGGAACAAATGAAAAGATTTCTAACACTGTGCCACTTGGGGAACTCCATGCAGTTGATAAATAAAACTAATAATTAGTATTTTAAAGTGATTATGTAATGTTATTAGAATGTCCACCATTGGTGCCCATTTTAATAACTTTAAGCCCACATTGTCCCTTGTCCTTGGGACTGCCTCCCCAGCTTCCTCTGTGCTCGGCACCTGCTGTAGTGGTTCCCCCCTCCCCCCCTTTCAGGCTCCGCACCTTCCTGCCTCAGGTTTTCTGCGCTTGCTGTTCTCACTGCTCTTCCTTCTCACAGCCACACAAGGTCACATCCTACAGTTTTTGGCTTGGCTGCCACGGTCTTGGCTGGGCCCACCCTTGTCAGTGCTCCAGGTTCTCTGCCTTTCTCACACTGTCACCATTAAATGTATTGCGTACTTAAAAAAAGGAAAAAAAAAAAAAAATATATATATATATATATATATATATATACACACACACACATACACACACACACACACACATATTTTTTTGAAAATATATTTTTATTGCCGAAACCGGTTTGGCTCAGTGGGTAGAGCGTCGGCCTGTGGACTGAAGGGTCCCGGGTTCGATTCCGGTCAAGGGCATGTACCTGGGTTGCGGGCACATCCCCAGTGGGGGATGTGCAGGAGGCAGCTGATCGATGTTTCTCTCTCATCGATGTTTCTAGCTCTCTATCTCTCCCTTCCTCTCTGTAAAAAATCAATAAAATATATTTAAAAAAAAAAAAGAAAATATATTTTTATTGATTTCAGAGAGGAAGGGAGAGGGAGAGAGAGAGAAACATCAATGATGAGAGGGAACCGCTGCCTCCTGTATGCCCGCTGCTGGGGACCGAGCTTGGAAGCCGGGCATGTGCCCTTGACTGGAATCAAACCCGGGACCCTTGAGTCCACAGGCTGATGCTCTATACACTGAGCCAGACTGGCTAGAGCTGTACTGTGTATTTTATATGTGCATTTTATTCAGTGTTGGCTTCCTTAACATTTCAGCTATGTGGGTATAGGGATTTTGTTTTGTTCACTGTTGTAATCTCAGCACTGACAATGCCAGGCATGAAGTAAACACTTGGTAAATACTGGTGTAGTTAGTTCCAGAATACTGGAAGAAGCCACCCAGATTCCTATCACCCAATCCAAGTTTTATAAGCATTTTCATGTTTGTCCTTTGTCTTCTTTTTTAAAAGCACTTGTAATAATGCTATGAAACAATTTTGCCTTTGACTCTTTTATTTAATTTCATGTCATGCATTTTTAATGGCATTCCATTATCTTTGTGATAATTTTTAGCATCTACACAGCTTTTTGTTGAATGGATGCTTCACAGTTTACTTTCCGTGCCCTGCTGTGGGATGGTTTGTTTTCTAGTTTCTTACAAATAAGGCCTTGAGGCTAATCTTTTCTATAAGAGGCCCAGTACACAAAATTCTTGCACGGGTAGGGTCCCTAGGCCTGGCTGGCAATCAGGGCCGATTTGTGGCGCAACTAGCAGAGCGATCGGGGGACCCCCGCTGGCACTGCCTTGGCCGGCCTGGTGCTGCCTGCTTGCCGGCCCCACCCCCTGCCACTGCTGCTGGTCGCCTCTCTCTGCAGGGCGACCGGCCAGGTGATCGGGGCGGGAGGGGCCCGCTGGCACCACCTTGGCCAGTGGGGGCCCCCCGATAGGCCCCTACATTGAGCGTCTGCCCCTTGGTGGTCAGTGTGCATCATAGCAACCGGTTGTTCTGCCGGTCGTTCTGCATTCGGTTGATTTGCATATTAGGCTTTTATTATATAGGATGTTTGAAATTGTCTCCTTTGCATGCATTCCTGGGCATCTTAACACTGAGCAAATGGCCTTAGATCACCAAGCCTGGGACCCGTAATGGCTCCTATCCAGAGGGAAGGAGCTACAACAGGAGTCCTGTCCCCCATGCCAGCCTTTCTGTAGTCCTGCAGTGATTGGCTTCTCCTTTCAGATCCGCAAGGATGCTCTCCGGGCACTCAACATCGCCTATACTGTGAGCACCCAACGATCCACCATCTTTCCCCTGGACAGCGTGGTGCGCATGCTGCTCTTCAGAGATTGCGAAGAGGCCACAGACTTCCTCAACTACCATGGTCTCACTGTTTCCGATGGGTAGGAGCTGAGGGTGAAACTGTAGGGCATCTCTTTCCTTTTTTGTCTTAATTCTGATAAAGGGCTGGGAAGTGCCATTGATGTGCGAGGTCCTGGAGAAGGCATGTTTCATGTGCTGCCTCCCTGGTACACATAGCAAGGCTCAGAGTGGCTGAGGAATGTCACCAGACCACATGCTGCTTGTCGGCTGATTGGGTTTAGACCCAGTTCTTTGTGACTCCGAAATGAGTGCTTTACAAGTTACTGAGGAACTTAAAGGTAAAGGTTGGGCTTCCTTATTCTGTCCCTTGAGGATGGCCTCTGCTAGCCGCCCATGATAGGCCACTGCACAACTCTGATGGCCCAGACAGGTGCCAGTGGGCCAGGGCAGGGCTTCTCTGCTTGGAGTTTGAGTGTTTTGAGAACCTGATGAGGCTCAAGGACCTTCTCCCAGAAAATGGCATCATGATGTAAAACATGATAGACACGCCCTGAGCTGGGTTTCTTAACCCCTCCCTCTCACTCTGGCCTTTGTGCTGCCTGTAGTCCTTCCTCATGGAGATGTGGCAGCTTTGGAGGGAGCCAGGAGTGTGTGTGTGTGGTGTTAACAGCTAGGCCAGGTGGTGCCCCTGTAGGCTGGCAGCAGTGAGCGCTGCTCCTCTCCTGATTTCCATGTGGCTGTGTGGTTACTCCGTGACATCAGGGAGGGGGCTTCCAGCGTTGTTGCTGGGCACTGGGAAGTGAAGGCTGGCCTCTCACCTGAGATACCTCTCTGTGGGTTCTTTTTGGTCTGGATAGCTGTGTCGAGCTGAACCGGTCCTCGTTCTTGGAACCAGAAGGGTTATTGAAGGCCAGGAAGTCGGTGTTTATCACCAGGAAGCTGATGGTGTCGGTTGGGGAAATTGTGAATGGGGGGCCGTTGCCCCCTGTCCCTCGTCATACCCCCATGTGCAGCTTCAACTCCCAGAACAAGTTCGTCGGGGAGAGCCTGGCCGCGGAGCTGTCCGTGGGCCCTCAGAGACCCGGCTTGGATGCAGCAGGTGAGTGGAGTGCAGCTGCACGAGGGAACTAGCTGCTTGTCCCTCTAGGAAGCCTCTAGGGAGCCAGAGCACCTGTCTTGTTTTGAGGCCCAGATGTGGATGTTGTTCAGTGCTCAGGTGTTTCATCCTGCGGTTGGGCTGATAGACTCGGTGGCATCATGTGCTTGCTTCTCATCGTGAAGCTCAGGGAGGGTGGCCAGTCCTTACGTCACTGTGGAGGGCCTGGAGGTTGTTTGTAGTGCCCACATGTGCCTGTTCTCTTCCAGGTGTGGGGAGAGGAGAGGAATGTGGTACCGAGGCGGACGCGTCCCCGCCTACCCTCCTCCCGCAGCCTCTTCCCATCTTGGCCCCTGCACTGCCCTATCTGCCGCACCACCCAGCAGCCACCCCGAGTGCGGCACCCGGCCTCTTCCAACCCCCCATGCTACCCCCTGTGCAGCCGGAGCTTCTTCCTGCAAAGCCTGAGCCTGTGTACTCTGACGCGGTAAGGAGTCTTCCAGCTCAGGCTCTAAGCAGCCTGCTACGCACAACACCCAGCAGCATCTGATGTCTAGTCTGACCATTGTAGACGGAACCCACTGAGGTGGTTGCACATGTGACCTTAGAATGTTCTGAACTAGCCATGGCAGGTCTCACTGGGATCTAGTCCACAAGGCTTGAGTCTGTGTCTTAGGAGCCAGAGGCTCTGAGAGCAGGGATGACGTGTGGGTCTGTAGTTTGTTGCCCGTGTTTTTCTTTGAAAGGTCAGGTGAAACTTTGGCGAATGTGCTGAAGGGTGTTTACGGACGTAATGCTGTTGATAAAATAAGCGCTGCCTGGTGTCGAGTGCTTCCTGTGCCCAGAGCTCTGCAGGCATGTGGTGTCCGTGGTTGCCCTGTCCCAGTGCCATCCTGCGCCCCCACGTGTCTGCTCTGAATGGTGCTCAGTGTGCTCCTTCGAAAACCAGTGGGCATGTTAACTAGGGCCATGGGGACCACGGGGAGCGCCGCATGCCCACCGACAGGCATGTGACTAGGGTCGAGCAGAGCCGGTCCCCCACAGGTTGTGGGACTTGGTCTCGCCACCTGTTGCTTAGACAGGCACTTGACACCACTCCAGTCGGGATCAAGGAGGAATGTGAAGAATGGCCACAGACCCTGAGCCTGTTTGAGGTGCGGAGTGGCACTGGGGGCCTTCTGAACGGCCATCCTCGCGCAGGGCTCCTCTGTTCATTAGCAGGAACTCTTCCCAGAAACAGCATCATACCCCCTGTGAGGGTCGTTAAAACACCGTCAAACAATGCTCATTGACAAGGCCTTGATGGGGTTCCTGCCCTGGCTGAGTTCCATGAGAACTCAGTGGTTCTGTGAAGGTCTTCAGTGCCTTTTGCTGTGGAGTGAGATTGTTCGATTATAAGCTGGGTCTGGATTGAGGCACTGTCCTGCTGGCACGCCTGACCCGCTGTCTGACCTCTTGTTAGGACCTGGCGCTGGTCGTGGACGAGCTCATCCAGGAGGTTCTTCAGAGGGACTGTGAGGAGGTTGGTGCCGCTGGGGCGGCCTTCGCAGCCACAGCTCTGGGGTAAGTGGGGTGCCCCTTCTGCTCTGAAGCAGTCTGCACTCACTGGGACCACACTCTGTCCCTCCAAACACTCCTCTCGTAAAGCTGTTCTCAGTCTTCAGCAAGAGATTGCAGCTTCCCATTTGTTTTTTGTTGTTGTTTGTTTGATATGTTATTGATTTTTTACAGAGAGGAAGGGAGCTATAGAGAGTCAGAAACATCAATGAGAGAGAAACATTGATCAGCTGCCTCCTGCACACCCCCTACTGGGGATGTGCCCGCAACCAAGGTACATGCCCTTGACCGGAATCGAACCTGGGACCCTTCAGTCCGCAGGCCGACGCTCTATCCACTGAGCCAGACCGGTTAGGTTTGCAGCTTCCCATTTGTATAGGCTCGAGTGTTGGTCCTGTTCTCTAGGTGGGTGTAATTCATATTTCTGACCTTCTGTTTGTCATTGGCATGTCGTTTCCATTCGTGTCTGCTTTTTGAGCAGCAAGAGGTTTATTAAAGTTGTAAATTAAGCCCTATTTTTCTTTAAACTTTAAATACGACTTAAAATTCTAATGAAGTAAAAATTAGTTCATTCTCTATTAAATATGAAAAATACTAGAAGGAGACTTGACTTGGGGTGGTGAACACACAATACAGTATACGATGATTATTACAGAATTGTATCCCTAAAATCAACATAATCTTATTAATCAATATCTCCAGTAAATTCAATAAATAAATAAATATTCAAAGTTAACCACTTCCCCCCCTCCCCCAATGAAAAACAGTGGGGCCTTGACTTATGAGTTTAATTTGTTCCGTGACGGAGCTCGTAACTCAAATTACTCGGATGTCAAATCAATTGTGAACGAGTGAGACATGTGATGCTGGGCTGATGTTGTGGTGTTCACTGTGATGTTCGCTGCGCCAACTAGCGGTGGGGTATCTGAAGCTGGCTTGTAACCCGAATTTTAGCTCGCAACTAAAAGCAAAAAATCGGCTGAGAGACGGCTTGTATCTCAAAAAACTCGTTAGTCGGGACACTCGTAAGTCAAGGCCCCACTGTACTCACTTTAGCCCTGGCCAGTGTACTCAGTGGTTGGAGCATCGGCCCACGCGCTGAAGGGTATCAAGTTCGATTACCAGTCAAGGGCACGTGTCTAGGTTGCAGATTTGATCCCTGACCCTGGTCAGGGTGCATGGGGGAGGCAACCAATCGATGTGTCTCACATCAGTTTCTCTCTTCTCTCGCCCTCTCTCCTCCTCTCCTCCGTACTCTCTCTCAAAATCAATGGAAAAAATATCCTCGAGTGAGGAATAACAACAACAAAACAAACAATAAGAAACTAAAAAATTCTTGGGTTACGTTTCAGTTTATTAAAAATTTGAATATTTTGTACCATTTGCATTTTACACCATGGTAAAATTGCCTTAGACATTTAAAACTACAAACTTTATGTATCTGCTTCTGTCTAATACTTCAACATCTAGTCTTAATAAATTTAATCACAATCTGTCTGCTCCTGGCCAGTGGCTCATTGGTTAGAGCATAGTCCCGTACACTGGAAGGTTGTGGGTTTGACGATTCCCGGTTTGGACACATACCTAGGCTGTGGGTTTGATGTCAGTTTTGATAGATTTTGTGTTTCTAACCATGGGTTTATTTTTATGCTGAAAGCTAAATACGTCTTTTTTCCCCCTGCCAATGTTAAAAGTTTAGTTATGTGGTCAGCTTGGCATTTATTTATTTAGAATTCTATCCACTTTGCTCTGTCTAGTGTTTCCAGTGCTGCTGTGGAGGAGTTGTTAACAGCTGCTACCACAGGCATTTTGAGGCACATTGCAGCTGAAGAAATGACTAAGGAAAGGGAGCGAAAAGAGGAGGAGAGGCGGCAGGCTGAAGAGGAGAGGTGAGTGTGTCTTGTCCTTGCAGTGCACCTGGGGTCAGAGTGTGTGGACATGGGAGAGAACCTAACCGGGCCTGGCATGCTCCTGCCATTGTGCATTGCATCAGACCCGAGGCTCACCCAGGGCCCCCATACACTTCGGCCCACGGAGTGGATGGGTCCTGAGGCTACACCCACCTTGTGAGCAGCAGCAGCCCTTTGCCAGCGGGGGAGGGTGGTGGCCAGTGGGGCTGGAGTCGGGGCAGCTGAGCTGTGTGGTTTGTCCGGTGGGATCAGAGGGTTAGGCCTACGGACTCAGGCAGCACAACTCACACCTCCACCTGTGAGGTCTTGGAGTGTGATGCTGCTTATTTTTATTCTTAAACATTACCCTTGCTCTTTTTTCTTGTTTTAAACCCTTAGATTGAAACAAGAAAGAGAACTGGTGTTAACTCAGATGAGTCAGGGCCTGGCTGCAGAGCTGACAGAGCTGGTGGTGATGGAATGTGTGAGGGAAACCTGCTCCCAGGAGTTGAAGTAAGTGAAGTGCTGGGTCCTGCAGTGTGAGAGGCGTGGTCTGGCAGGAGGGAGGAGGATCCTTAGGCACTGTGGGCAGGCTGGTTAGCTCTGGCTAGCTGGGTTGCACTTTCGCAGGGAGCATACATATCTTTTGATAGCCAAACACTAGAACCCTGTCCCTGTATGTGTGTGGCCTCCAGAGAGGGCCTCCCTTTCACTGTTATCCTCATTGCGGACCCTGACCTGGGCATGGGGATGGCTCAGCAAAAGAGTTTGCTGGTAGTCTCCTTACCAGGTTACTTATCATTCGTTTTCCTCTAGTAAAAGATCCTTCTCTTATTCCACATGCTAAACTATTTCTTGGAGCTATCTCACTTAAGAACTTCCTTGGTTTCCATGCCAGGCTTCAGGGAAGACAGAGGTTCAGTTGTGCAGGGAAATCTGTCCTGGTCCTTAAGCTCTCTGAGATAGCCCCGAAGGCAACGGACTCTTTAGTCCTGATCACAGCTCCCAGTGCAGATGGGGAGCAGACCTAGAGACAAGTGTCTTAATTAATGTTTCCCTCTCTGTTAATTGGGAATCTATTTCCATATTTACTATAAGAGGCCTTACATTGATGGCTATCTGTCTGTTCTTAATCCCAGGAAGGGGTGTTAGGAGATAAGGAACCCAGGACTCATCGATGTGCAGGGAACGTGCTGTGCTCCTTGGCTCCAGGAGGCTTGGCCTGCAGCTCACCCTTTGGTTGATAGAATTTTGTTGTAAAAAATCTCTCTTACAGATACTGGTTTATATGAGGGCCACCGTTGTTTGACCACAGGCTGCCAGTTATGTACTTGAGACACCTCTAATTGCAAACAGCAAATATTGCTGATGAAGGGATGTCTTAATGGTCATTTAAAAACTAACATTTCTAGCCATTGTTTTAAGATAAAGCTTTATTTCCAAGGGCCCCGCTGGACCTGTAATCTAGTATCCTATAATTTAGTTTCTTTTTTCTCTTATGTTTGTTGTATGATATTCCTTTCCAGGTGGCCTTACCTTAAGTAAAATGAAAATCTGAAAGTTCCTCTTGCAGCAAGGGCATAATTACATTTCAATATAAAAGATGTGGACTCTTGTACTTTTAAGGCAAGCCCTCCGTGTGTGTGGGCCTGGTGCAGTGGCTCTCATGCTGATGGCCTGTTTCCTAGGAGTGCAGTGGAGACAGACCAGAAGGTCCGCATGGCCCGCTGCTGTGAGGAAGTCTGTGCCCACCTGGTGGGCTTGTTTCTTGGCGAGGAAATTTTCCAGACTGCAAAGGAGACCCTCCAGGAACTTCAGTGCTACTGCAAGTATCTTCAGAGGTGAGTTATGTGTTCTTACAGATAAATCCATGCACACAGGAGTCTTTTTACCAAGATTATACTTTCAGAAACGGACAATTACATGCACACATGTGCACTCACACCCACACACGTTGCATGTTCTTTCCTAAAAGGTATAAAGGGATAAGTAAGGAATTCGTTTGGGGAGGATTGTTCTGTATTTTGACAAATATTTAAAGGTTGCTTTTTCTCGTTTACCCTTTGCACTATACACAGGGAGATGGCCATGAACAAACCAAGCAAATTATAGCTGTGTGCAAAACATAATTTATAATGAAAAAAGACAATTCTACAGAAATGTGTACAACATACGAGCGGTGTATATTCAGATAGGTTGTTTCGGGCTTATATATAGTAGTGAAAGCCTAAAGAAAAGAAGGAACATAACGAACACACACTCAGCATAGTGGCTACTTTGGGAACAAGAGGGCATGTGACTAAGCAGGGTCCATGGGCATCATGGGCACTGCTTCTCAACTGGATGGAAGGATGTGGGTGACCATCATTCATCTCTAAACTGGGCATATATGTGTTACGTAATTTGTGTGGTGATTCAGTTCATGTAAAATTTAAAATAAGTACTAGTGTTCCTTGGCAGTTGCAGCCACATGAAAGGGAGCAGTGAGCAGTGAGTCTCCATTCCATGAGAGACCATCTTCCTCCAGCTGCTTGTGTACCCACAGACACCTCTGTCCTTTTTGTAGTTCTTAGCACATCTGGGAGCGTGTTGCCAGCTCTGTGTCCAGTCATTGTTCCCTCCATATGCTAGGAGGTGGAGGCCTGACCACAGCAGCATGTCAGCTTTCCCAGTTGTTGCCAGTGGCACTGTAAATGGCCCCCCTGGCCCTGTGGATGGACTTCCATGTGGATTTCTCTCTTTAGCCTCGACAAAGTACTGTAGTAACCGTCTTGCACACACACTGCACACGTCTGGAGGTGAAGTTCCATCAGTGGTGGTTGCTGGGTCAGAGGGTCTATGTACCTTGTATCCATATTGCCAAACTGGCCCTCCAGAGAGCAGTCCGCATTAGCTATTAAGTTCAGTAACTCTTTTTGCTTACCGCCATTCATTTGCTTCAGGCCTCTCCTGTGCCTGAGTTGTTGTTTTTAAACTTTTTTTCCCCTTGAGTTTTCAAACTAATTTCTTAATTTCAGGACTGTTGCTGAAAAAGACTGAACATATTGCCAAAAACCGTGTTCCCGTGTTAATGATGCCGGAGCTTATGTTTGCATTTGTCCCTGTGGTGAGCCTTTAACACACCCAGTGATGACATGTTGGTGTGTCCTCAGGTGGAGGGAAGCAGTCGCAGCCCGGAAGAAGCTGAGGCGCCAGATGCGGGCCTTCCCTGCAGCGCCCTGCTGTGTGGATGTGAATGACCGGCTGATGGCACTGGTGCCCAGTGCAGAGTGTCCCATTGCTGAGGAGAACTTGGCCAAGGGCCTCCTGGACCTTGGCCACGCCGGGAAAGTGGGCATCTCCTGCACCAGGTCAGCGCGCAGCTTGCCACAGCGCCTCCTAAGTGCCCCCGTCCCACCTCTGTGTTGGGGGGCAAGATAGATGCGTCAGAGAGTGGACGTGGGACTGCACTTTGGCAGGTGTCTTTCCCTCCATTCTGGACATGTGGTTGCTCTGTCTGCTTTGATTTATATGCCTTTTTCTCTGAAAACATTTGGGGTCCTGGTAATTGAATTTTAGTTGGAACCACCTGTTTTTCTCATTTGTGGAATCAGAGGTCCATGTGCACTCACTGCCACTCCCACTTCCTGTTTCCTATGCTTCTGGATTCTTCTGCTTCTTTGTCATTTCTGCTGCTGCCTCACTCACACCAGCTCCCTCTGTCTTCTGCAACAGCATTTTAGTGACTCCACCTCCCACCCTCCATTCTCTCCTCACGGGGCTCCCTCCTGTGCCCCTTTGGCATGGCCCTCCCTGCCATTCCTCCCAGTCACTCTGAGCATGTGCAGCTCCTGAGGGCCCTGCCCAGGTCTTCGCTTGGGCTATCCACTGCTAGCCGTGCAGGGCTCGGCCTCTCTTCAGGCTCAGTGGGGAGCCCGGGAGAAGGCAGCATGGAGGGGCTGTAACAGCACACTGTCTGGGTCTCATGGTGCTCCTCATCTTTCCCTGGGCTGTCACGGGACATTCTCTCTGAAAACTGTCTCCAGGGTTTCATTTGACTCCAACAAACTGTGGCTGCTGAGATTTCTGAGATCCTGTTTCTGCCTCTGTAAGTGGGGTGGGCAATAGCGCTGACCTGTCTCAGATGCACTCTGCGGTCAGAGCACTCCTCTCTGACCCATGGCAGCCTGGGCACTGGCTTGGCCTCCTGAAGTCATGGCTGCTTTGTCTGTCACCCCCAAACACACTCTCAGCACAGCCCCCTGCCCTCTGTTCTTCCCTGCTGCTTCCTCCTTGGTAATCTTTTTCTGTCCTTCACACTGACAGCTCCCCTCGTGCATCTCCGGCCGAGACTCCTGTATCCTGTGTTCTAGACTTCTGTATCCCATTCCCAACCCGATGTCAGAACCTACTTTTCACGCAGCCTGCCCCTCTGGGGGCCTTCCATGGAATGCCAGCCTGTCTTCCCCAGGCTTAGATCAGGCACCTGGGCTCGGGCCCATCATTCTAGAGCACTGCCCTCACTACCTCTGCTGCCAGCCTGCCTGTCTGCCAGCTTCTGCCCTTGACCTCTACACCCTGGTGTTCCCACCGTCACAGTTGAGTCTGGTCACCTTGTGCCTCTAGTTGACATCTTTGTGCTGCTCCCTGAGTCCTTGCATGGCAGTCCTTGCCTCCCCTTCCAAACCCCAACTGCTGTCTCTGTATCCTCTGCACACACTCCTGCCTTGGCATGCCCATCCCTCCTTCCTCTCCCCTGAAATTGTCATGCTGTTTCCCCTTATTTCCTTTAGAAGTGACAGCTCATCGCATATCACTTCTTTGACTGCCTTGTGTGAACAGACCACAGCATACCCATGCACCTACCGTGCCATCTGCTTGCAGAGGCGTGTCTTTCCCCATGACAGCGGGTGTCCTAAAGGGCAGGAATTTGCTCTGTTTACCGCGTCTCCCATGATTGACACATGGTAGATAATTGATATCTGTGGAATGAACAGGTCTTTTGACTGATCCATTTCTCAGAAAAAATTTTCTTGGTCTCCTAAGTATTTCCACCAGTTACTTTTTACTGAAACCATCCGTGTAAGTACTTACCAGGTTCCTCCCATGGGCACTGAGCTGGCCTCACGCAGGCACATCGTTGTTCTCCCTTTCTTTGTAGGCTAAGGTGGCTCAGGAACAAGACAACGCACCAGTTGAAGGTCCAGCACTTCCACCAGCAGCTACTGAGGTCGGTCCTGCTCCCGCCGTGCGAGCTGCTCCTGCCCGGGGCTTGAGCACCAGCTCACCCACCTTGCTCTGTCTGTTCCTTCCAGTGATGCAGCGTGGGCGCCCCTGGACCTGCCATCCCTCGTGACTGAGCACCTCCCTGGTAGCAGGGAGCATGCGTTTTGGAAGCTGGTGCTGGTGTTGCCCAACTACGGAGAAGAGCAGTCCCCATGGAGTCCTGGCAGGTCAGGGAGGGGTTCCCTCGGGGGGCGGGGGGCGGTTGATGCTGAGAAAGCAGCCTGGGGAGGTGGAGCACTTCTCCCGAGAGTGTCAAGCAGTGGAGCAACTCGAGGGTGGCTGGGGTGGCTGGGGTCAGCGTGGCGTGTTCCTCTCATGCATGATGGGAACACTGATGTGTCGGTTTACGGTTTGGTGCTTAGACTTGCAGTCTGTTTTGTTTGTGATTTGAAATTGACACTTTACATTATTTAAACTTTTATTCTGTAAACTTGGTAATAGTCTGTCCAAACGCATTTCAGAGTTGTTATTTAAAGCTACACTAAGGTGTATTGACTAGAGCCTGCTTCATTTTAGAATCTTGTGGAAGACAGTTTACAATTTGTCTGCTATACTAATAGTTCCATTTTTTTCTTAGAAAAAAACTTTGGCATTTTAAAAAAGAAATCCAAAAGGTTGACATGGCATTATTTCCTATAATCAAATCGCTTCCATACTTTTAAAGCAAGTATAAAACATGTTACTTTTCTTTTTTAACAGCTTTATTGAGATGTAATTCACGTGTAAATTTCGCCCATGTAAAGTGTCCATTTCACTGGTTTTTAGTATATTCAGAGTTGTATAACCATCATCAGGATTTAATTCCAGAACATTTTTTCACTTAAAAAGAATCCCCGTATCTATTACCAGTCACTCTCCATTTCTTCCTACCTTCCACACCTGGCAGCCACAATCTGCTTTCAGGCTTTATGCATTTGCCTGTTCTGGACATCCTCAATAAATGGAGTCATACAGCATGTGGGATTTATGACTGGTATCTTTCACTCAGCACAAATGTTTTCTACGTTCATGTTGTAGAGAATATATCAGTCCTTTGTGTGTGTGTGTGTGTGTGTGTGTGGCTGAATAATATTCCATGGAATGAATTTATCACATTTTATTTGTTCATGAGTAGATGGGCATATTTGGGTTGTTTCCACTTTTTTTGGCCGTTCATGCTACTATGAACATTTGTGTGTAAGTGTTTGTGTAGATATATGTTAGCAATTCTCTTGGTTATATGCCTAGGAGTGGAATTGCTATGTTGTGCGGTAACTATGTTTAAGTGTTTGAAGATTTGCTGAGCTGTGTCCATAGTGGCTGTACCATTTTACATTCCTGTCAGCAATGTCTGAGGGTATTACGTTCTCTGAACACATTACTGTTTAAGCAGGAACATATGTAGGCTAAAGAAAAAGAAAGTCATAAAGCTTATCACATAAGACAGCTGAGCAAGGAGGAGAGTTGTGGTATTTTAAAAGCATTTAAATGATTCATTTCTTAAAATAGCTGTCTTCTGATTTGCTAATTCATTAGGAGATATATGTCCCAAGAATTCTTAAGGTCTCAGGTCTGAGAAATTAGATTCTATAAAACATGTATATTTTAAATTCTAAGGATCTTTTCTATTGCTCAGAATCTTTTCTTAGTGCTCTGGAATCTTAAGTCTCATTAGAATGAACCAGTTCCTGAGTGCTCTCTTCTCTCACCCAAAAGAAAGATCCCAGTAGAGATTTGTGCAGATCCCAGTAGAGATTTGTGCAGATCTATTTGTGCAGTAGAATTTTTGTCCGTGGACCTACATCTGTGTGATATTCCTCTTTCCAAAATATTTATAGTTCAGATTTAGAATTGGATTCTTCTTCAAGTGTTGTTTTCTTTTATTCACAGAATTCTGGCAGATTGGTTGAAAGTCAAGTTCATGGGAGGTGATGGCTCGGATGACACATGCAGTGATGCTGGTGGAATTCAGACACTCACGCTGTTTAACACACTCGGCACCAAAGGGAATCAGGCAGTTTCTGTCAGCGTGTGTATAAAGGTGAGTGACAACCACTTCGTGTATTTACTTCTGTGATTGTCTTATTTTCTCTATGCCTGGACATTACTGGAATCATAAATGCCTGAAATGGTTTTGAAAGAATGTGGGGGGCTCATAAACATCCCATGGACCCCTATTGGTGTGCGATACCAGGCTAGCGCCTGGAGCACAGTGAGCCTTAACTGTCTCTGGTCATAGACCACTTTGAGAACTTGGTGAAACTCAAAACCATCCTGACAAATGCATAGATGCACCTATGCTCTTCTGCACATCATTCAGAAGCCCTGAACTCTATATTTATTTGCCTCTGGTAATTAACCCAAGAGATAAGAAACAGAGCATTCCACAAAAAACAGTGATGGTTACACTTCACTACTGACATCACTGTTAAAATAGCTTCCTGATACACCAGGTCTTAGCAAAAAACTAAGGTGTTTTAAAAAATCTTTATTGTTGCCCTGACTGGTTTGGCTCAGTGGATAGAGCGTCTACCTGCGGACTGAAGGGTCCCAGTTCGATTCCAGTCAAGGGCATGTACCTTGGTTGTGGGCACATCCCCAGTCGGGGGTGTGCAGGAGGCAGCTGATCGATGTTTCTCTCTCATCAATGTTTCTAACTCTCTACCCCTCTCCCTTCCTTTCTGTAAAAAATCAATAAAATATATAAAAAAAATAAAAAAATAATCTTTATTATTGAAAGTATTACATATGTCCCCCCCGCCCCCATGGTTTTTAATCCTATTTCGTTTTCACTAAACTTGAACCCAGCTACTGTCTAGGTTCAACATTGGACATTTCAGATTAGTTGTTTTTGTTTTACATTCAAGTTGTCCTCAGTTTTCCATTACAAGTTCTAATTTTTGCTCTTTATAGGTGTTTGCAAAATATTCACATTAATTGGTTTCTTGAGAGATTGTTATTTAATGAGAACTTGTTTCTGCATTAGGTTCAAATCTGCATAAATGAATTTTAGATTTCAGAAATAAAACCAGATGTGTGTCTTATTTACTTGGGAAAACAGCAGTGCAGGGCAGGAAGTGTGGGCTTCAGTGCTGAGCACTTGGGTGTTGATAGCTCTAACCATTGAGCCACCAGCCAGAGCACCATCCTGTTTTCTGTCTGGCTTTTTTATATTGTGTTCTGGGAAATTTCCTTGACTTTATATTCCAGATATTTTTTATTCCATATTTCAGTGTCAGGCGGGGAGTGGCCAAGTATCCTCCACTTGCCTAGAGGTGCCCTGCGACTGGACCCTCTCGGGGCAGACCCCTGCTGAGGGTACAGGTTGCGCTTAAAGGCCACCTGGTGGGTGTTATCAGGAGTTCCCTTAATGACCTGTTGGGCAGATCCTGTGGGTGTTCGGGGCTTTTCAAGTTCAGGTGGCCTGGGTCTTTCCACACCATGTCTGTAGCCCACAGGTGTGGCTTCCTCTGCTTTCCCAACCAAGTGATTGTTCCCATCTCCACACTGTTTTCTAGAAATGGGTTGAAATCCCTTGTTTGCTGCTGGCTTGCCTTCCTCCTTTTCTGTCATTATGGTCTTACCTGTTTTTAGAACTGTTTAAGGGTAACTGTTAATATGAAAGTAACATGCTCAAAAACAATTATAGCTGGAGGCTGAATTACCCATTGTTCCAGCTGTTTCTGGCAATAATTTATGGCCTCAGGGAGGGAGGCTGGCCCAAAGGGCAATGCAGTTTGGCCGCACTTGCTCGGGGGCTGATGTTCACTACTGATTTCCCCCCTGATGCTGCTGTTCCAGGTAGCCTACGGTGCTCTCAGTGACGGTGCCCTGGATGCCGTGGAGACACAGAAGGAGCTCCTGGGAGCCAGTGGCCTCATGCTGCTGCTTGCCCCCAAAACGAAGAGCGAGGACATTGCAGAGGAGGACGTATACTGGCTGTCGGCACTGCTGCAGCTCAAGCAACTCCTGCAGGCCAAGCCCTTCCAGCCTGCATTGCCGCTGGTGGTGCTCGCACCCAGCCTGGGAGGGGTCGCTGTGGAGAAGGAAGTGGATGATGGTTAGTGAGGCTGTCTCCTTGATGAGCCAGCATGTTCCATAGATGGGTTGAGCCCCGGGTGTGAGGAGGTGCTGGCAATTCAATGGCGGGAGTTGGGATAGCAGCCACTGTGGTGACTGGGAACAGGTCTGGGCAGGGTCAGTGCAGTGAGGTATCTGCTCATACACAGACTTAGCAGAAGACAGGTGACCTGTTTCTTTTCAAGGTCTGATGCTACAGGATTTGGTTTCAGCTAAGCTGATTTCGGATTATATCATTATTGAAATTCCTGAGTCCATTAATGATTTACAAGGCACAAATAAGGTAAGTTTTCATTATTTTTAAAGGTCCAACCAGATAGTTCAGTTTTTCTCTTCTTGTTCTATCTTGAATTTGGTGTATATTGGTGCTTGCATTTTTAAATTTTATTTTTAAAAAGTAACCTAAAAATATAAGCAGAAATAGAAATAAAAGATAAAATTTGCCCATAGTCCTGCTATCTGCAAAAAATGAAATTTAAAAACAAAATATTCTTACCGATTTTAGAGAGATAGAGAAAGGGAGTGGAAAAGAGAGAAACATCGATTGGCTGCCTCCTGCACATCCTCTACTGTGGATCGATCCCGAAACCTAGGCAATGTGCTCTAATTGGGAATTGATCCAGTGACCTCTTGATTCATGGGTTAATGCTCAACCACTGACCCACACTGGCTAGGCTGTTCATGTCATTTTTTTAGGGGTTTTATAGGTATGGATTTAAAATATGACCATTCATGTCTCACGTTTGAAGGTCAGATACATAAATTGTTTTTGTAGGGTGGTTCTTGGAATATATGAAGAAATAATGTTATCAGAAGTTTCCTTAAAAAAAGAAAAGAAGAAGCCTATTCTGACATTTATATTAGGGAAAGAAATGCTGGGAATTAAATAAAAGTAACTATAGGAAGAAAGATAGCGACAGGATGTGAAAGCATCCAGGCATATAATGAAGCTGTTAGTCCTTCTAAGAACTGGAAGACATGGTCCCTATCCGCATGGTGAAGAGGATGTGCAGGGCTGGTTTTCTTCAAGCCCGAGCCCTTCCAGTGGGTGATCCTGCAGCCTCACCTCGGGGTGGGGTGGGACTTGGAACCCCTGTCCTAGGCTCCTCGCTGTATGTCTCCAGGGCCCTAGGAGCCCAAACTCCACTGCAGCAAAAGCTTCTGCTCTGCAGCGTGGTTGAGAAGCTGGTGCTCCGGGGGCACCTGCTGAGGCAGCTGTGGGTGGGGCCCCTTCAGAAAGCTCCTTCTGAAAAACAGCATGATCTGCTCTTCCAATTGTCTTTGCTTCTCAGGTTTCCCTGGCCGTGCAGTGGCTGGTCTCCCACTGCCCCCGTGCCCTTGACCTTTGCTGCCAGACCCTCATTCAGTATGTGGAAGATGGGGTTGGCCGTGAGTTTAGCGGCCGGTTTTTCCATGACAGAAGAGAGAGGCGGCTGGGCGGCCTGGCCTCGCAGGAACCTGGTGCCATCATCGAGCTATTCAACAGTGTTCTGCACTTCCTCGCCTCCGTGGTGTCCTCTGAGCAGCTCTGCGACCTGTCCTGGCCCATCACCGAGTTTGCTGAGGCAGGGGGCAGCCGGCTGCTTCCTCACCTTCACTGGAATTCCCCGGAGCACCTGGCCTGGCTGAAACAGGCCGTGCTGGGCTTTCAGCTCCCGCAGATGGACCTTCCACCCCCGGGGGGTATGTGCTCCTGCTGAGGGGTGATGCCTGGGGATGAGTATAGGGGGCGACCGAGAGCACCCATTTTCTTTCTTACTGTAGTGGCAGTCTGGCAGGTGTTGGGCACTGGTGTGAGGTTCTCATAGCCTCCATTCTGTGTCCTCTGTCCCCATTCTGCACCTACCTTTGGGTGTAGGAGTCAGAGTGAGCAGGGTGTTTGTGAAGTGACAGTTGGCCCTTCACTGCCAACAGAGCATCTGTGGGTACCTGCTGACCCCTGGGAGGAAGGTGGTGTGCGGTGTGGGAGGAGCACTGACCCCAAGGCCTGGAGTTTCTGAGTGGACGGCAGGTCCTGTCCTGCCTGCACCACGGGGTATGAGGATGAAGAGTGTGGGGACCGTGCAGTCCTATCCCCACACTGCTGGGGCCACAGCACTCAGTGCTGACTTGCAGCCAGTGTTCCCTTGTCAGAAGCCTCTGTTCTGTGGCGCTGGCTGTGCAGTTGAAGCCTTTGGGCTGTTCTGATGCAATCTCCAGGTCCCCTGGGCTGGGCATGGAGACTGCCCTTCCCTTGTTGAAGCTGTTAGGAGGGAAGGAGGCGGTTCACTGCTCATGTGGTACAGCCTGGGGCCCTGGCAGAGCCACTTGGGCTGCATGGAATATAGGGCTCAGGTGCCCTTTTACATTTCAGGGTGTGGTCTTCAGTAGGCCTAACAGATGCTCATTTCTGAAGGAACCCAAAAGGAAGCAAAGCACACAGCGCAAACCCTCTGTGCTGTGAGCTAGGTCAGTGTTCCCCAGAGAAGTCAGGACCTCATGTACCAGCCTCACCTGCGTCCTTGTTAAAGTACAGATTCCTGGGCCTGTACTGTACAGTTAGAATCCCTTGGGGGGACCCTTAGTTGTGAGTTTTGTCTAGGGCAGTGATGGCGAACCTTCTGAGCTCGGCATGTCAGCATTTTGAAAAACCCTAACTTAACTCTGGTGCTGTGTCACATATAGAAATTTTTTGATATTTGCAACCATAGTAAAACAAAGACTTATATTTTTGATATTTATTTTATATATTTAAATGCCATTTAACAAAGAAAAATCAACCAAAAAAATGAGTTCGCATGTCACCTCTGACACGTGTGTCATAGGTTCGCCATCACTGGTCTAGGGAGTCTGGGTCCCTTGTCAGGACATGGGGAGGGAGATGCTTTTTCCTGAACAGCTATGATTTATTATATTCAGATTCAAGAACAGAATTCTCAGCTACACGGTTGCCTTCTCCTGAGTTAATACAGAGTGAAGAACATTTCATGTAGATTTCCACCTGTACTTTTCCACTAGTGACTCACAAGGTGCTTTCTCTCCAGCTCCCTGGCTTCCTGTGTGCTCCATGGTTATCCAGTATGCCTCCCAGATCCCCAGCTCTTGCCAGACGCAGCCCGTCCTCCAGTCCCAGGTGGAGAGCCTGCTCCGAAGAACTTATGTCAGGTGGAAGAGCCAGAACCCCTCCCCTGGCTGGGAGGCGGGGCCCTCAGTTGCTGAGATCCCGTGGGACGACGTCATTGCCTTGTGTATCAACCACAAGCTGAGGGACTGGACGCCCCCTAGGCTTCCTGTCACATCAGGTAGTTAGCGTATGGCACTATGGGGCTGGCTCCTCATGAGACTTGACAGAGCCAATTTCAGCAAGGAAAGAAGCTTACTTGATATTTGTGTCTTTTCCTGTGGGTCACCACTCTTCCTTTCCTTGGGACTCCCTCCTTTAAGCCAGTGACTTCCAGGTGACTTGTAAACATTGGGAAGAGCTAAGATGGTTCCAGGAGAGCCAGGACTCAACTCCCTGATATGGGCCCCCTAGGCTGGCTCTAAGTTTAAGACACTTTGTAGCTCTGAGTGGTTTTATTTGCCATTCCACACTCTGGGCGTGAGCCGGACTGGACATTGAATGACCCACGGACACTTGGAGCATATTTGGCTCAAATGGGAGTCACGTAATTATGTGACTTTACTCAGAGGGGCTTCTGAAATCAGTGAATATAAGCAAATGTCAAGTGGTCACCTATTGCTTTTTTTATATTCTTTTAAAATTGTTTTTCATATTTTCTCAGAGGCACTGAGTGAAGATGGTCAAATATGTGTATATTTTTTTAAAAACCATTTGAAGACATATGATGTTCCTATGTCGTGGGAACAAGCCAGAATGCAGACGCAGAAGGACCTTCAGCTGCATCAGGGGTGGTGAGATCTGTGTTCATTGTGTGTTTCTGTCATCCCTCCACTCAACAGAACAAACCATGTAGTTCTCTTCCAAGGTACACAGATAGACATTCATACCCTGTTCACAGAATCCAGCCCATTGTGGGTAAATAAAATGTCAGCACATGCAGTCTTGCAGTACATAAAAATTCACAGGTAGGCTTTATCCAGGATAAGCAGTATCAACAAAGAGCAATCTACTTGTGTAATATGGTGCCATAACAGAAAAATAAGTGCTCATTTAGTAGGAAATGCTTTTATATGCTTTCCTGCCTAAAAAATGTATACCCATTCCTAATAAAAATTTCTTATCAAACTTGGGTTAAAAAAAAATTTCTGCCCCCAAAACCATTCTTCTTGGTAAAACATTAGAAACACTGAGGTCAAACCAGCCTGAGCTGCCCTGATGTCACTGCTGTTTACTTTTGTCCTGGAAATCCTGCCCAGTGCAGGGATACAAGTGGCATAAATATCAAAAGGAAGGAGAAACTGTCATTTCCAGATAGTAAAGTTGTTAGTTCAAGATAACCAAGTTACTCCCTTAGAGAGAGTCATGCATGGTTCAGGAAGGTGATTAGATAGATTGATCTACCAGGTACAAAAGTCCCATGCACAGCAGCCACACGCCTGTAACATGAAAGCAGACTGATCTGGAGAGGCCGTAAACGTCAGGGAAACTCTGAGGCCCCTGAAGGTGCAAAGAAAACCTGAATAAATAAGGGGCGAGCTGCCTTGCTGTTGGGAGGACGCAGTTCTATAAAATTCTCAGTTCTCAAACTGTAGTCAGGGCATTTCTCTTTTTTGTTAATCCGCACCAGAGGATGTTTTTCCCATTGATTTTTAGACAGAGTGGAAGGGAGCGGGGAGACAGAACATTGATGTGAGAGAGAGACAACAATTGGTTGCCTCCTGCAAGCGCCCCAGTAGGGGCCGGGGATCAAGGCTGCAACCGGGCCGACACTCTAACCACTGAGCAACTGGCTAGGGCAGGGCATTTCTAATTGAAAAAAACCCAAAAGATTTTTCCCCTTGATCTTGACAAGTTAAGTCTAAAATTCATCACAATGAAAAAAATGTGTAATAATTGCTGAGAACATTTTGAATAAGGATAACAAGGAAGTCCTGCTCTTTCTGATGTTAAAACATAATAGTGAAGTTACAGTAGGCGAATGGATCGGAATAGGAAGTCCAGACACAGAACCATATGTGAGAAAAGTACCATGCCAAATTAGGGGGTGGGGAGGCAGACATTGGCATCTGTTTAGAAAAAAAGTTAGCTTCGCTATCTCCCACTGATTGTAAACATTAGCTCCAGATGGACTTACTAGCTGAATATAAAAATAAGAACCTTGCTAATAGGGGGAGTAGAGAGACCTGTTGATAATCCAGGGATGGGAAGCAACACTCAGTAGAGATGCTCCAAGGCCAGCTGCCCAGGATACCGCAAGTCCCGTAGGCAGAGGCTGCCCTCCCTCCTAGCCCTGCACTTGACCCGAGGGAAGCCCTGACCGTGAGGGAAGCTGGAAGCAGGAAGGGGTGGGTCTCAGGCTCTCTCTGCACCCACATCTACCTATTTCCTGAGAAACCCTTTCTCCCTCTTTCCTGATCATGTGTTTCAAACATGTACTTACAGCTTGGAAACAAAGACTTTTCATCCTTCTGCAAACAAGTTTCCCACTCCGTTCCTTCACGTGCACCGAAAAGGGAAGAGGAGTGCAGAGTGTGGCCGAGAGGGGCCGGTTCCCAGCACGGAGGACCTGATGCGCGGAGCCTCTGCCCAGGAGCTCCTGGCCCAGTGTCTGTCCAGCAGTCTTCTACTGGAAAAAGAGGAGAGCAAGAGGTGAAGCCCCTCCCTCTACTCATTGTGTCCTTCAGCCACTCCATGCTTGAAAGTCAGTCTTCTGGCATTTTTCCCTATCGTGGCCCATTTCCCTCTCTAGTCACCACCCTCGTGTTTCTGCTCCCTTATGGTGAACTCAAAAACAGTGAGTCTCACTTCTTCAGTTCTCCTTTCCAGTCTTTCCTGTAGCCCCTTTCTGCCCCTCATGTCTACTCTGGTTAGGATCACTGCCCCCACACAGCTGAACTGACCATGAACCCATGTCCCAGCACCATTCCACACCTTTGCTCCCTCCCTCCTGGCTCCCAGAATGCCCTTAGTCCCTCTCCTGCCCACTTGGTCACATTCCCTAGGTCACTCCTGTTGGTTCTTCCTCTCCTTCCACTATCCCCTCACTCATTCTCTGCACCTTGCATCTGTGTTATCTGTACATACACCCCAGTGATTTCATCCAGTTTCATGGATTTTTAAATAAAAATATTCTTACAACTCCAAATATATATCTCAAACCCTGAGTTTTTCTCTGAACTACAGATTTGAATATCCTACCACTTCCTTGATAGCCATTTCAAAGCTAACATCCCAAATCCAATTCCTAATTTCCCTTCCTACAATTGTCTTCTCAGTTGAAGGCAGTTCCATCCTTCCAACTGCCCAGGCCAAATGCCTTGAAATCATCCCTCCACATCTAGTCCATCCACAAATCCTATTGGCTCTATTCAAAACATTCAGAACCAGACCATGTTTGCAGTGGACCACACTCTAGTCTTGGCGCACCCAGTGTGAGCCTTTCAAGTGTGAGGCAGAGGTCATATTATTCCTTTGCACACAACCTTCTAGTGGCTTCCTCTCTGAGCCTGAACCACAGGCGAAATCCTTATGAGGTGGGCAAGGCTTTTTGTGCTCTGCCTACCGTTTCCTTTCTGACCTCTGCTCCTTCCTCCAGCACGCCAGGGACTGCATAGCCAGGCCTTTTCGTTCCCTGTTCCGTTTGCTCAGGACTCCACAGCCAACCCCTGCTACCCTTATGGCTCACCTTGCACTCACTTCCAGCCTCCGCTCAAATGTCTACTCAGTGAGGCCCTCCTTGCCTGTCCCCCAGCCCTCCCTGTCTCCATGTCTTCACTTTGTCTCTCTCACCTTCAGACCACATTTCCCCAGGTATGTGTCCCTTCTGTTTCCCCTCACTAGAGTATAAGCTGCGTAGACCTGGGCTTTATCTGCTTTGTTTCAGTGCTGTATCCCTGGTAACTAGAATGGTGCCTAGTGTTTGGTAGGGGCTTGATAAATATATGCTGTAAGAGTAACTGAATGTATCATGATTTCTAAAAGTAGATTTTCCCAAGTCTGTATCATTTAAACAATTGGATCAGATTATTTTTCTTGAAAAGACAATTGTATGGAGTGGACAGCTCTAGAATGTTCGGTGGCAATAGGATAGTATTATGAGTTAATTTAAAATTGTAAGTAGCAATCTATACCTTTAGTTATTCCATCAAGAGATAAGAATTAATTATAGACACAAAAATCCAAAATAAACCAGAGAAAATACAGTAAAAGAGAATTATGAATAATGTTGAGTAACATTTAAAAACAATTGTGTTTGGCTAAATGCCACCTTTCTCATTAAGTATAAGTTGGATGTATAAATTAAAGAGAAGACTTTTTTTAAATCCTCACTTGAGGATATTTTTCCATTTATCTTTAGAGAGAGTGGAAGGGAGGGAAGAAGGGGGGAGAGAGAGAGAGAGAGAGAGAGAGAGGGAGAGAGAGAGAGAGAGAGAGACATCAATGTGAGAGACACACAGTGATTGGCTGTCTCCATACGAGCCTCGACCTGGACTGGGATGGAGCCTGCGATCAAGCCTGCGATCAAGATCTGTGCCTCTGACCGGGAATCTAACCCACGACCCTTCCATCTTTGGACCGACGCTCTACTGAGCCAAACCGACCAGGGCGATACTAAAATTTTTTGTTGTTGTTAATTCTTACCTGAGGATATTTTTTCCATTGATTTTTAGGCAGAGTGGAAGGGAGAAGGAGAGATAGAGAGAGAAACATCGATGTGAGAGTCTCATCGATTGGTTGCCTCCCGCATGTGCCCCAACTGGGGCCGGGGATCAAGGCTGCAACTGAGCTAAGTGCCCTTGACTGGACTCGAACTGCAACCCTCAGTCCTCGGGCCGATGCTCTAACCACTGAAAAAACTGGCTAGGGCCAATAATAATTTTAAAAATAATTTTCTCAATTGATGTCATAACTTAGTTCTATACTTAGTAAAAAGCAGTGCTTTAAACAATTTAAAGTATCCACACAGAGAAGAAGTGAATGATAGTTAATTTTTTGCTTCCTAATGTTCAAATGTTTCAGATTTGAAGATCAACTTCAGCAGTTGTTGTCTGAAGACTCAGGAACGTTTACAGATTCAACTTCCCTTCCCCTCTACCTTCCTCAGACTCTGGTGTCTCTGCCTCAGACTATCCAACCTGTGATTAAAACATCCACAACTACTAGCCCACAGGTGAGAAGAGAGTACATTTGGCATTTATATTAGAATTAGACAAACTAATGCTTGATTCATCGTGTGATGTTATAATCACCAATAAGTTATTAGCTTAAATTAGATGTTTTCTTAAACTTAATCTGTCAGTTATAGAGGCCCAACTAATTTTGAGTTTCTCCTTGTGAAATGAACGAAGAATGGAATTGAAACATGCTGAAGAGTTGAACAAAACCCACCACTGTGTGCTGACATTCAATAAGGGCTTGAGGAGAATAGCAGGTGATGATAGTGTCTTCTGTTTATGGAGCACATACTGTGCCAGCTGTGGCATCACCCACACCTTTCTTTCTGGGATTACCTTTCCCTGAGCAGGTTAAGTTCACAAAAGTCAAGGACCTCATCCAAGTTTGTTCAGCTGGTCAGCGGCAGAGCTGCTTTTCAAAGCCAGACTTGACTTGCTCCAAAGATTAGATCTTTCTACCTCACTATCTTTGCTTCAGTGGTAGAAGAAGCAAAACCAGAGTTTTAATCATAGTTATTTAGTTAATGCTGGACAGGTAAAAGGTATGTTCTTGGGCTGGCTTTAGGAAGTCCTTCAATGGGGAGGGAAAGTAAATTAAGACATACTGTTTCTATTTATCAGTTTGGCAGACAACTTAAAAATATTTGTAACCTTTGACCTAATAATTCTGCCCTAAAGAAATTACTGTCTATGAACAAATTAATGTATTTTTATTCACTGTAGCATTAATTATACTGCATAAAAGTGGAAACAAACTGAATATCCAAAGATGGGAGTTTCAAGTGACTTGTAGCTCCTGAAATGATACTTTATAAAAATGATTGATGCTGAAAGTTCATGGTAAATCATCGGAGAAACATTTCATGTGCAGATGATACCAGATGTATGTATATGTGCTGGAAGAGGCTGGAAGGATCTATGCTAGGTGTCAAGAGGGGAGTTTGTTGAGTGCAGCATGACCCAGACAGGATTTCTAACACGAGCCCAATCTAGTGCCTTTAAAGAGAATGTATCTTGGTTTATGGATATCCCAAAGCTATGTTTGGTTTCTTTCTATTCATATAGAATGAAAGGACAGGGGAACAACTGCAGTTGTCAGAGGCAACTGGCACATCTTTGACTGAACGGCTGAAGCACCTGGAAAGGCTGATCCGAAGTTCAAGGGAAGAAGAAATTGCCTCAGAGCTCCATATCTCCACACTGCTGGACATGGTGGACATTTGAGCTGCGGACTTGAGAGTGGGAGGGTCTTTCCAGGGATTTCCTTGAAATAATCTTATTCTTGACTAGAGGCCCGATGCACGAAATTCGTGCACTGGGGGGTGGGGAGGTTCCTCAGCCCGGCCTGCTCCCTCTCGCAGTCCGGGACCCCTCACTCCTTACCACCCACCTGCTCTATTGATGCACTGTTGGAAATGTGACAGTTAATTATGCAAACAAAACATTGAATGTCTAAGGGGACTCCCCTGTTTTCAAAATGGTAGGCTGTTTCCTCCTATATAACGTCTTTGATTTTACCTCTTTTCATGATCTCAGACTATCATCCACCAACATGTTCTAAGGGAGTTTGTGGCTTACATTTCTCTGAGTAGCAAGTCATCATTCATTGTCTCAGCAAAGTTGCAGTCCCAGATATGCCAGACATCAGTAATGAGGCCCATCCAACTCACATCTGAAAGAGCCAACAGTATATGAACATAGCTCTCTGAGGATGTGCCTGGGGCATGTTTCTGGACTAGAAGTGGGAAGACAAGAAGATTGGCTGTAGATAAGAGCAGAATTCCTGGGGAGGAGTACAGGGGTGTAGGTGGGGAGAGTACCTGAGGTTGTGATGAAAACCCGGAGGTGCCATTTTGGTATTGTTGCCAAGTGAGGGGATAGGCCAGACCACAGAAACCCTGGCTGCCTTCTTCTGAATGCTAAGGGAATCCGCTATTGGAGGATATTAGGCAGAGAAGTGACTTGTCACATTTTCTTTTAAAAATGGCATATGGGACCCTGGCTGGTGTGGCTCAATTGTTTGGAGTGTTGTCCCGTGCACTGAAAGGTGGTGGGTTCCATTCCCGGTCAGGGCGCGTATCCAGATTGCCGGTTTGATCCCCGGTCAGGGGCGAGGCAGTTGATCAATGTTTCACTCTCACATTGGAGGTTTCTCTCCCTTTCTCTCTAAAATCAATAAAATTGATTTAACCCTAATCCTCAGGTTAGGATTAAAAATTAAAAGTAAGTAAATAAATAAGGCATATGTGGAAGGTCAGTAACACAAGGTAAGATTCTTAAAATGTGGGTGCTGCAGTCATCCAGGTGAAAGAGGAAGGGTATAATCCTGAGTTTGCTAGCAGTTGATGTGCGGAGAAGGAATAAATTTGAGCCATATACAAGAAGAGGTATTAGTAGACTTGGTGATGCTGGGTATGGCCACCAATCTTAAATTGGTACTCAGCATCTCCCTGCTATAATGCTACATCCACTAGACACCGAGAAGACTATTTCATATCTTCTCATTCTTCTCAAACCTCCAACATTCCTAAATATAGGCTGCTTCTCTTCACAGCAGAAGCAAAGAACTGAACTTCCTCATCTCAGTGCCACCAAATCCATCAGCCAGTCCCCACTTCACCATATCAAACACTATTCAACTGTTTTGGGGATTTCTTTAGTGATCACCTTAATGTTTATCAATAAAAACGTAATAATGCTATTTCTTAATCTTTTTTCTTTTTTTCTTTTTCTTTTTTTTAATTAAATCTTTATTGTTCAGATTATTACATTTGTTCCTCTTTTTTCCCCCCATAACTCCCCTCCTTCCAGCTCACACCCCACCCTCCGCCCTCACTCCCCACCCACTGTGTTCATCCATAGGTGCACGATTTTTGTCCAGTCTCTTCCAGCATCTCCCACACCCCTTTTCCCCCCAAGAATAGTCAGTCCATTCCCTTTCTATGTCCCTGATTCTATTATAATCACCAGTTCATTCTGTACATCAGGTTATTTATTCACTTGATTCTTAGATTCATTTGTTGATAGATGCATATTTGTTGTTCATAATTTGTATCTTTACCTTTTTCTTCTTCTTCCTCTTCTTAAAGGATACCTTTCAGCATTTCATATAATACTGGTTTGGTGGTGATGAACTCCTTTAGCTTTTCCTTATCTGTGAAGCTCTTTATCTGACATTCAATTCTGAATGATAGCTTTGCTGGATAAAGTAATCTTGGTTGTAGGTTCTTGGTATTCATCACTTTGAATATTTCTTGCCACTCCCTTCTGGCCTGCAAAGTTTCTGTTGAGAAATCAGCTGACAGTCGTATGGGTATTCCCTTGTAGGTAACTGAGTTTCTTTCTCTTGCTGCTTTTAGGATTCTCTCTTTGTCTTTTGCTCTTGGCATTTTAATTATGATGTGTCTTGGTGTGGTCCTCTTTGGATTCCTTTTGTTTGGGGTTCTCTGCGCTTCCTGGACTTGTAAGTCTATTTCTTTCACCAGGTGGGGGAAGTTTTCTGTCATTATTTCTTCAAATAGGTTTTCAATATCTTGCTCTCTCTCATCTTCTGGTACCCCTATAATTCTGATGTTGGTACGTTTGAAGCTGTCCCAGAGGCTCCTTACACTATCTTT